TCCTATTTCGTAGACTTGAAATCACACATTTCTGAATGGATCCTGTACTTATTGAAGTCGTGGTGGTGCCGACTATTTTAAGAAATTAGTCGAAGTGAATCAATTTTTCAAATTAGAGTTTAGAAAAATATTGTACAGAAATGTGCTTTTTGCAAGGGAAGTTGAAGCAAGTAGCGTCTTAGGTTTTTGGTGGAATTTCTTCCGAACACTAACGAGCCATCTCATTTTTTTTCCACACGTTTCCTGCTTCAAGAAGTTTTTTTTTTCAACATTGGAGACATTTTCATCATCGGGATGAATTTCTGCGAACATTTTCCAATAAATTAGAGACGCACAGAAGATATTGAATTTTCCGCATGTCTCTTGGTTTGAAACCATTCATGTATTCCAAACGTCTAAGGGGACTCCTGACCGGAATGCCGGCCATAAGGCTAAAACAGTAAAAGCGAAAAATGTAAGAATCATTATGTGACCCGCTTTCTTTAAAGAGGAAAGTCAACTTTAATCGGTTTTAACCCCTTTCGTTTATATCCCCTGACGTGAGGGAAATTCGTGGTAGAGGGAAGACATGGCAGCGGTTTCACGGCACGAAATTCCTTTCAATTAATGATCCCTTAGACTCGTTGACTCGTTCTCATTCCCTGTATTCGAATTTTGTTTTCCCTTCGATGTTTTTTCTCCATTTCGCCTCGTGTGACGTGTGATGACGCGTGTGATTCGAACGAAACCCCGCGAAACTTAATAATTCGCGGTCGTGGGATGGAATTTAGCGGCGACATGGCGGGAGTGACGAGATCCGAAGAACAGGTGTCGCAAAAGTACGACAAATGCCTCGCTGACGCCGTTGTCAAATTTGGTGAGGGAACTTATTGAGTTTTATGTTTTCTTTCAGCGAAATTTTTGAAAATTTTCGAGATCCTGTACATTTTTATGAAATACGAAATGAAATTTGAACTCGGAGAATTGAATGCAATTTAGTTTTGATGCTTGGCATTCGGCGAATTTTTGTCCTCCGAATGACGAGTCTAAAATAAAGTTTGAAGTATTGATACAAATGACGAAATCCGACGTGCAATACAAAACTGTATTCTCACTCCAAGGATGCAAATAGTAATCTTGACATTTCCTTTCTGATTTGAAAAAAAAAGAATTGACTTAATTGGGTGGAATCAAAACTGAATAGCTAAATTATTCGATTGGAACTGAAATGGGCTCAATCAGTATCCTCAGACTAAATTTGTTTTGTTTTTGAGGCACATACATTTTAGAAAAGTTGAATAATCGATGGCGTCTTCGATTTAAAAAAAGGAAATATTGCTTTCCGTTTTGATGTCTAATTTCTTGGTTGTTGTTTTTCAGGCGGCGGTTTGGCGGTTGGAATGGTTTTCTCCGTAGTTCTATTCAAACGTGAGTTTTTTTCATCTTCATTTCTACGACTTATAAAACTTCCATTCTATTGTGTAATTTTTTCATCTTAGGTCGAATGTGGCCGGCAATTTTCGGAGCTGGTTTAGGCACTGGAATCGCTTATGGGAATTGCCAAAATTCGCTCAATGAACCGTTCTTGGTACCAGCACAACGGGTTCGAGTTGCGGTAAGCTGAGTGGAAATTTTATGCCTCAATTTTAAAATTTGTAATATTTTAAAAATCAAATTTCGAACGTCTTGGCAAAATGACGTTCTCTTGAAAAACTCGCTGTTAATTTTTAGAATTATATCTAATCTAGCGTGAGAGCATATTGAATAGAATGTCCGATTGTTTTTAATGCGCAGAATTAAAATGAGAGAAAATAATTTGGTCTTCCCGTTATAATTCGTGTCGTTCGAATTCCCAATCTTGCTTCGTGGAATTTCGGACAGGTGTCGCCTGCATACAACTTTGGCCGATCGAGGAAATGTAGACAGTAAGAGTAGACGATGTTGAATAATGTTTCTATACATTCAGGCGATTCACAATTAATGGCAAAGATTAGTACCTAGGTAAAGATGTTGGTCGTTGAATTGAAGAGAGCTGAAGTAATTAAACAGTAGAGAATTTGTAACAGAATTGATCGCTCGTAATGCTGTTCTTTCAAAATTTGGAATTTCATTAATTCTGACGACATTTAAAAGTGAATATTTTTGGGAAATTCGTTGAAGAGAGATCATACTTATTAAAACCAATTTTAGTTGGGCATTTTTCTTTTATTTCACTCTTCATAAATAATCGAGTAAAACTTTTGCAGAAGTTACCAGAGTCGCAAGATTCTTCAGCGGTTCTGAGAAGCTGAACCACTACAGCCTTAGGATGAAAGTAGTAAAACGAGCAACCATCGGAGTAAAACTTGTGCAATGCCCCGAGCACTGAAGGCACACTAACGCGTGCGGCCCTTGCATTTTTTTTTTGTCAAGGGTTCACGTGAAGAGTGATTCTAGTTCTGGTACTTAGTGCTCGCAGTTTTTGTTTTTGATTTGTGGATCGGCGTAAGAAAGTTTTCCGCGGGCTTTGAATGAATTTCGGAGGGGGTGTCGACTTATGATTTCATTGTGTGATGTTGAAATGAATGCGACATTACAACTCGAGATCACCTTCCAGTTTGAGATTCATGTATGCAGGATGTAATTTTCTGAATTAATTAGTTATGGACCTTGCATGAAGTTTTCACAAATTTTTTTCTTAAAAAATAAACTTAGTCCATGCAATACAAAAATCTTACTGGATCTGTTTTAGTGTGGGTAGATGTCACTGTTACATTTGGAGCACCTTCCTTTTGAGATTTGGCATTTGAGAGAATCTTGGGAAAACCAGAAAATTGAGTGTTAAAAAAAACTCAATTTTCTGGTTTTCCCAACGGAAAAAAAATGCGTGTTCAGAGTTGCTTTGGTACTTTCTCAAATTGTCCTCTCTCTAAATCACCCAGTCTCAAATTGTCCTTGTGTTGAATTGGCCCTGTCTTAATTTGTCTGTATCCCATTTAAGTAAATCAAGATCGCCATGACATCATTGTGATAAACGGAAATACAAGGGATAGTATTGGAAGTAAATTCTGAAATCTGGGATACATTATTCAAGTGGATAAATAAAAATATATTGATTGCAACAATTTCATTCACCGTATTTCCAGAAATATATAAAATATATATCGTCAGTATTTATTGAAGGGGACTATTTTTAGTTTCAAGTTTTGCCAGGGCCAGAAGAACAAATTATTCGGGCTCAAAATATTGCTCTAGACTAGAGGAACTTCCAGAACATCTGACCTGTATCAGAGATTTCCGAAAATTGTGCCAGAGCTTGTGCTCTGTCAAGTGAGGTATTTTTTTTGGGAGGACCCTGTATCAAGTATGCAATTTTTCAAGGACCCAGCGGCGTTGAGATCTGTGCGATTACGGCCACAGAAAGTGACAGGACCTTTGGTTTCCGGCGATGGACCAATAATCGGAAGCAACTGGACTCCCCCTGAGCGGGAAGTTCCGGTTGCCTTGACTCAAGCGCAATCTGCAGCAATGCCCCAGTCATCCCCCCAGGCCATGTACGAAGCTGCTCAGGCGTATTACCAGGCGCAGCCCGTGAGCTATGACTCTCAGCCGACTCAAGAGACTAGTAGTTGGAACGGACCTTATCAATGACTTACTCCAATTTTCGTTTATGTACGTTTGGTTTTTTTCTTTCTTTTTTTTGACAAGAAAGGGGGCTTCTTTGGGATAGCTGGTGGGATTTCCTGCTCCGTGATCTTTAAATAGAAACTACAGATGGGGAATTCATATTCTTTTTCTTTCCGTTCAAGTTAGAACATTAGTTCCGGAAAATTGCGATTGAATGAGAATAAGCCTACATTAATTTTTGTCAACATCTGCGAGCACAACATATCGAGCAGTAGGGCTTGAATTCGACGTGAAGCTCGAACTGAAATTGAAAATGGTCTGGATAATTGGATTCAAGTGATTCAAAGTCTGTTCCGCAGAACTAAGGATCATAAGGGCTAACCTGAAAGTCTTCCGTGTACCCTCAAAAGTTCCAGTCTTGCATCTACAGATGGACTCTGACAAAATTCAAGGGACCACAAAAAATTCGTTGTAGAGAGAATCGCGTTGTGGATGAACCATGTAGCATGGGAAAGAACTCCAATGGGACAAAAGAAAATCTTCATACGGAGAAAATCGCGGTAGAGCAAGTCCACATGCATCAACTTCTACAAAGAAGAGGACCCAGAGTATCGTGTACACTCTTTCATTGGTTCTGCTGGATACAAAGGATTCACAACGCGCCCACGTTAGTAACACACCAAACCAACTGACAGAATTCCATCAAATTCCCAACAAAAAAGTAGCCTCTCTCTGCATAATGGTACAAAGAACACAATTCCTTCCAAGAAACGCAACAACACATGAACCACAGAGGTAGTGAAGTGTCCTAAAACTGGAACTTAAGTAAAACAGAATCCCCTGATTTTTATAAACCTCTTCAGCGCTCTCCCTTTCTCCTGGTCCAGCCATCACACGCACTATCTTTTTCCTTTTAGACGGACTCCAGATATGGTCAAGAACTGTCATACAAGTCTTGCGCTTCCGGAACACAGCCCGTGACAACTCATCATTTCCCGCCAGATTTGTCATCCGCGATTTCATCCTGGTGTTCACTTGATCATACATGGCACGTTCCAACATTGCATGGCCTTGACTTAATTATTTTTAGGATGCAAGGTTTTTGTCTAGATAGATCCTTGAATTTTTTAAATTACCTGAAGATCCAAGTCATTGAGTATGTGACTACAGTTCGAATCATTTATGGTATGCTACAATTTAGGCTAGCTGTTTAATGTTGATCCTCATAAACGAGGAGTTGGAAGTTTCCTCAGAATTAGAAAAAAGACTACAACTCTCAACATTTTTGGATTCTTATCATGGTAAGTTTGAATTACAAATCCATATAATTTTTTAGCTCTATGTTGATGCAAGGAAGGGGGAGAAATAAAGTTTCAAGCTATCCCCAGGGGCCCCTCAGTAATTTCAGGCAAATCTTAAATGGAGAATAGAAAATAAAAGTACTTTAATTTGAGAATTCAAGAAATTGCACATTTGAATACTGCCCTTTCTCTGGCTTTTCCACTGGCACAATAGAAGTGAAGAAATATTTCTTGGGTATAACAGGGATATTTAATTCCCTTCGCAGAGTTGAAAATCTGGTAGCAATTATTGACAAAATGAACAGTAAGTTCAGAAACTGTGCGTACAAATGGCACCACATTCTTTTGGATCCAACGCTATTAAGTAGAAAAAAGATTCAAATCCTCAATTAATAAAAGGTATTACAGTATAACCACTGAATGCCTCAATAGAATTGGCTGTAATGCATAAATTTGAAGGACTCAGTCCATTTTTGCATATAAAACTTGATGATCCTCTGATACACAACCTGCTCCATTAAAAACTTTCATATTAATGCAGGAGTATTAGTGAAATTGTTCCAAGGCCACACAATGTTGAAACATCCCACATAGGAACCCAAATCCTCACTAAAACGCGAGGCCAAATCATCACTCATAAAGCTGCAGCCCAACCATCTCGCCACGGTAAAATTTTTCAATCAGCCTGCCTGTGCTTCACCAACGCCTAAAACAGTGCTTTCTAACACATCATTACTTCGCGTGCAAATAGCTCTTCACCACTGATCACACAACACGGCCCGGTGCTTCAAAAAACAAGGCAAAGAACGAACAAAACGCAGACAATTCATCATCACAGCCCCCCTGTGCTAACTTTCAACGACGTACTTGCGTGTCAATAGATTACCTCAGAAAGCAAAGCATGCTTGAATATAAATCGAAAAAAAAAACAACTGAACATTGTCCAGATTCAAGCATACAGATTGTCAGCGCTATAAACGCGCGGTTGCTGATCTTTCATAAAAATCCGTATTTTTCTAAAAAAAAAAGAAAAATGAGGCCATGCGCAGGGAAATCTGAACGTCAGAAGAAATTCATGAAATGTAAATGCAATTGCTCTACATATTCTAATGCTGCAGTACGAAATTTCACGGATGTAACATGATTGGTACCAAGGATGGTAGGAGCTACGAATATTAACTCAGTTCATTGATGTTCTTAAGGGATCAACATTTCTCATTCAAAAACCTACGACCGCAGTGGGATCCATGAAAAAACTTGCCAACAACTTTTTCCTTCGAATGTCAGCAATTCTTTTGTCATTATTTTGCTTATCAATGGGCTTCCAAAAAAATAATGAAGTCTGCTGAATAATCCTGTCAGATGCCATTGCCAGAAATTTGATTTTTCCATCAGTTGAAATAAAACTCAGAAAACTGCAAAAACATGAAACATGCAAGTGTGACAGCCAGTACTCATTCACTCACAATAATGAGAGGCTTTTACAACTTGATGGATTAAATTTTTCGACAATGATGCCAAAAACTTGAAATTGATTGGAAAAAATAGCATAAACCCTCACATAATTTTCTTCTGCCTTTCAGACCTACCTGTGCACATCCCTCACATTTTTGCCTTCCAAACTTTCCACAAGAAAAAAAACAGCTGCACATATTGGCAAGAAAGATCAGTGATATGTAACAAACCGGACAAATCGGGTTATTGTCAAAGAAGAGCGCTCAAGTAGCGATGAATTTGTCACTTCAGATTTCAGCCAACATAGCAACAAATGCCCTTCGTACACTCTTTCAACTGCCACAATAATGAACAAGTAAAATCATTTTCCCATTTTCAAAAATGCATCAAGATTGTCAATGAAGTCAAATTTCTGAAATGCTACGTTGACCCAAATGGAAAGCGTGCTGCGATCGTAATAAATACAAATCAGTCGGAATTGACCAACATTCATAAGTCACAAATCAAGCCTCTGCCAAAAAGCGGTCTTCAACACAAATTCCGTTTGTCCAACGCGCGAAACAGAAAGAAAAAAAATGGACAAATGCAAGTTGGAAAACCCAAACTCTCGCTCACAAAAAAAATAAAATATTCCGAGCTGCTCCCACGTTTTTTTGAACTAAGTACGTCTGGCCTGAAATCCACACACGAGAAAAACGAAGAAGTAAAAAAAAAATTCTTTGGCATCAAAAGTTTTCTCGTCCAGTCTAAATCAAGAAAGCCCCCCTCTTTTGGTTCATCGCTCCATTCACTTGATCTTTACCCCCTCCAGATGGCGTGATAGCAAGTTCAAATGAGCCCAAGGCCTAATGACGATTTGGATACTTTCTTTAACTTTTGGGCCACAAAAAAAAGGCCTGGTCCAACTAAGCATAAATTTTGATAATCTTGAGGGTCGGGGTCAACACACTCGCCAACACTCATCGCCCACAGCCACGTTTTTGCACTAGGAGAAAGAGCTTCTTCTCAATCGCTGCCAGGACAAATGCGCGCGACTCTAAAATGGCACGTGTCCCCAGGATTGAAAAGAAAAAAAAATGCAAACGAAGAACATTGCCAGAAAATTATCAAGCATCACCGACGTAGTACCGTACTTGAATACCACACACACAACATTTTTTCCAGAATTTGGGGTGGGAAAAATAGGGTTTACCTATTCTAACCCGTAATACCTTTTTCAAGAAAGCCACTGCCTGTCACATGTGAGTACAGTAAATCTGAACAAACAAAAATTTGATAATGAAATATGTGGTGCCAAGTCTCCTGTCCATGGGAAATAATTGTTCAAGCAATACAAATTCTAGGAATATATCAGTTTGAGGCGGGTCTTATGCAGGAATAGGTTTTTGAACAAATGTCTCTCTCTCTCTCTCTCTCTAAAAAAAAAAAGTGGGGGCGTGTCTTCCTCAAGGGAGTGTGGCACTCAAATAATGAACTAATTCTCATTTCTTCTCCCCAAAGGATAACTCTCAAAAAAGAAATGCAACTGTGAAAGCAGCCAACTTTTTTGCACGAGCGCTGACCTGCTTCTTCACTGATTTTTAGAACACGCTTCATTGAGACGGGCTCAATTGTCCGGGTCACGCTTGTCAACCAAAATGCGAAAAAAATGTCAAGTGCAACAACCGCGACGCTCATTCTCTTACAGATAAAAGCGGGTTAAAAATATCACGAGCCTCATTTGAACTTGCCGTCATTTTTCTTCTCCTCTGTACTCGAACAAGAATTTCTAGAAAATCAGAGAAAGCCTCCGTCTTGTTTCCTTCTGTTTTCTTTGAAAAAAAAAAAAAAGCATAGCTTCACACAAAGCTAATCTTCAGACTCTTGAGTTCCATGGGTCCAAGTTTGAGCGCCGAAATGCCGCTCAGTTTGCCTCTAGACTCCATCCCCGTCAGCGTGGTTTCTTCCACATGGTCCACTTGGGCTTCGCCGAGGTCCGCATTCGAGTAGACGGCCGCCGTTTCCACCACAGCGCAAGGGACGCCAGAAAGGGTTCCGTAGGAACAGCTAAAACCCTTGCGTTGCACCACCATCAGGGCTTCCTTTCCGGGTTCGCTGAAATTCCCGCGGACGTCGGCGGTTGTGCGAAGAGTCAAGAGGTGGACGTCGCATGACAGGGGTTCTGACCGTTGCAGCAGCTCCACCTGGAGGAGAGGAAGGAAGTCCATTTCGTCTGTTTTTAAATATTTTAATATACTGTACAGTGGCACTGGGAATCAAAGCTTTGAAAAATATTGATACCCAAGTGTGCCCAGATGCCAAAAAGAGAAATACAGGCAGTAACCTGGTATTTGACCCTGATCCATTACCCAGCTAGAGTCAAATTTTGATGTGGTAAAATTGCAAGACAATGTCAAATGCAATGTTTTCTGCATCAAATTTGACATTTTGAGTCTCTCAGCAGGTAGAATTGCAGGGCAGAGGTCAAATTGCAAGTCAACATCCCAGCAAATTAGAACATTGAATTGCAGGACAAAAATTGCAAGGTACCACCTGTACAGTAAAATCTCATTGCACCAAATTTTTCAGTACAACAAACTTATCCTCAAAATCCTAGCAAACAGCCCATATAGTAGATAGTCAAAAAAATCTTGTTATGACAAACTTCCCAATTCCAGTATGAAAAACTTTTTTAGAGGAATTTTTAATGAATTCCTCAGGTAGGAATTTCCTATCTAAGGCAGTCACAGTCTGAAATTTCAGATCACAAATGTGACCAAGTATTTCTTGTAGCATGGATGGAAGATTTAATCAATGACTATGATGCGTCCAAGTGGTTCAACACATCCTCCTCCCTGAATGAAGAATTGCTGCAACTTATGGAATGCATGATTGATGCTAATTTCTTGTCCAAAATGTCACCAAGTTTTTCAAAAAATAATAAAAATCCAAGACTGGCAGAAAAAAAGGTCTTATTGATTATAAGCTGTGGGTCTGATGTGACAATTTTCTCCAACAATTAATTTTGAAAAATCTTGTCACAACGAATTATTCAGTACAACAACTTTTTCAGAAGCCCCCAAAAATTTGACAAGAATCGTCAACAATTTTACATCAGAGGAAATTTCAGAACAATTTACAAGGAACCCTGAGGCAGACTGCATCAGAGAAGAAGAAAAAAAGAAGCAAGAAACGCACAAAAACTGGACTTTACCAGAGAATCTACGTCCAGCCATAACGCCAAGTGAGAATAATCATTATTTTTCGAGTTTCACATGAAAACCAAAACAAAAATGTCTCTCCCATGAACATTTGTTGGGGTAAGGATTCCTTCCGTTTTCACACTCTTCAATCGGAACTTGCCTTGGGTCGGACATCCTCCGCTGTGTCGAGGACATAAACAGCAGGCGCATACAAAAGCCCATCGCTCAAATGCTGCGCCGGAAACGAGAGCGCCACATCACTATACTTTCCTGCACCACCGCCGCCTCCAGCATCACCACCGCCGCCACTCCGCTCCTCCAGCAACAACCAGCCGTCGGCCCGCGTCAACACATTATCCGTTACGCCTTCACCCATGCCGCGAGAGTCGTCCGATTTGCTGCGACGGTCCAGGGCCAGCTCCAACTCACCTGGCCGCAAACTCGTCACGCCGCGTGAATGCGACGTCAGGACAGTGAATCGCATCGACGGGTCTTGAATGAACGCCGCCGTCGTCGCCGGGTAGTAGTTGCCTTCGACTTTGATGGCGTCAATTTTCTCTCGCTTCATCATCTGATACCCATTTGCGTCTGAAAGGGGAAACATAAAAAGACTTCCTTCAAAATTATTTTTTTTTTAAATAATCGAGACAATTTTGGGGGACAGGAAAAATTGTCAGCAAAATGACTATTTAGCTAATTTTTGCAGCTTTTTCGTTCTAGCTCAGGCGTAATACTTAGACAAACAATTAAAATAATCCTGCCGAATTTCTCGGGAATTTCCAGTTACTGCGAATCGAGGTTTCCGATGCGACCAATAAAATACTTCGTTTTTCTTTTTTTTCTGCAAGACAGCGGGAATCGAACCATAGAAACAGGTTATTCTTTTCTAAAAGGCCACCGTTTCAGTCCGGATTGTGCCACACTTTTTTACACTTCATGAAAAATTCTATCTCGTCTTCCCCATTGTTCGTCTCTGTTTTTCGACGTGGCATAATACAGGTATTCGAAAGCATTAGCACAGTGTAAAATGAAAATGAAGTCGCAGAAAAAATTTCTTCGAAACGGAAAAAAAACCAAAAACCTCTGCATTCAAATCCCATTACTTTTAGCTTGTCAATCTCGGGGAATTCGAAGACTAAATACAAGAGGAGAAATCTTTCTGGGCACTGAAAAATGGGTTTCAAACAAACAGTGTGCAAATTTTAGAATACTGCAACGCATACAATACTTCAAATTAGTTGGAAGGAGATGCAAATGAAACAGGAAAAATTTTAGAAGTTGAACGTCACATGAATATTGCTTAGTTATCTCGAAATAGGATCACAGTAAATTAATCCCTACTTCCCGGATCTGAGTTAGTGTCATCCTAGACGACACTTCGCATCACCCCAGAGGTAGTAAATAAACTATCCAGCGCCATATTTCGAAGAAGAGAAAGTGAAATTTTGAAAAAGCCCTGAGGACATCCAATTAACGAAAACATCGACTAACCGGAATAAAACACGGGCTTCTCCCCGTTATCCACGTCAGTGACGAAACGGACAAAGGCATCGATCCCGTTGAAATTGAAGCGTTGGGACTCAGAGTGGGGATCGGGTTTGTCAGCCAGGTTAACGAGCGTGGTGAACTTGATGGCGTCCACGGTCGGCGACTCCACAGCGTGGTACACCCGCATCGAGTACAGGAGATGGCGGTCGAAAATTACCGTGATTTCGCTTTCCAACAGACCAGACGTGATGATGACCCGCGGCACGGCATTCGGGTCAATGAACGGCAACCCTTCTTCCCCGGGCACGAATCGCCCCAGACTGTCCACAGGTTGCTCCACCTTTTTTTTCGGAATCGAACCCAAATCAGGATGAACAGGTTTTCTCAATATCTCACTCACTTCTTGCAAGAAAAAAATTCAAGAATACCGAGATAAAAATGGAACAAATAAACCAACAAATTTTATAAGAAGCGTGAAACATCCCTTTTTAAATTTGAGGCCTGATGAAAACAACTGTAAGCTGGAAATTTTTTTGAGAAAGGAAAGCGATCAACTTGTGTTTTTTTTAAAGTAGGGTAGCTTATTTATGAATTTCTTACAACTAATTTACAACAATCTTGATTCTTCCAACGCAACTTTTACTACGATTGACTGAAGAATTCAACGCAGTTATTTTTCTGCGAAAAGTCCAACAGAACACTTAATTTGATTCCCAAGGCATAACTCGCTTAAATCGATGAATAAATCGTACCCAACTCAATATCCAACACAATTTCATCAACATTTTTGACAGAAAACCCCTGGTACGCGTCCTATTTGCATAATTTGAAGTTATTCAAGTTTTTCAAAATAGAGAAAGAGCTTTGAAAAAATAAAATAAATAGAATCGGCTCACCTTCATCAAATAAGCCCCACTTTGATAAGGCGCAGTAGCATACTGGCCAAACTGCAGCTGAACTTTCCTTTCTTTCCCGCTTCTCTTGTCAAACACACGCTTCAACAACTTGGTGTTCCCGCTGAATAACAATCGGAATCTCGGATTCTCCAACTGAACGTCCCCATCAGGTACAATCTGCACTTTGAAGTTGTCCACAACCGCGTCCCGGTTGCCCACGAAATTACAATACACCGACGTTTTCAGCGACACTGGACTCTGATCCGCGTTTCGCTTGAGGTAATAGGTCGTCAGAGACAGTGGTGCTAAATCTGCCAAAAGGATCAGTTCGTATTGCGTGGACGAGACCAGGAGATTCGGGGAACCCTTCGTCATGTTCCATACAGGATTCACCTGGAAATAAAAGGAGGAAACAAAATTTGTAAAAAACAAATCCTCAATTTAAAAATATTTGAATTTAAAATCAAAAAGACGCGACGCTTCGCGAAGTTTTCCTTGGGACATCTTCTTGCATATCGCCGTAATTTTATTTTTGACGCATCGAGAAAAGCTCCAGGAATTCCCATGATTTTCATTTTAAGGTGTATCGGTGCGAAAACTAGACGATGGCGGTGATCGAATTGATGACATTTGCTTTCTGAATTATCGCCTGGATTTTTAATCGAAATTAAAACACAACCTGAAATAAGCCTCGACAGTTGAAAAACGCAGGCGACATCTACTCAACGAGGGAAAATCACAATGAGGACTTCATACAATTTTAAGAACGCACCTTTTTCGATAAAGTACTTAATTATGCAAACAAATTATAACGGAATTCGATCCCATAATAAGATAAGGCTTTGACTTTCAATGACGCAACTGACGACATTGGTAAGAATTACCCAGCATGCATAAAAAATCAGCACGCCTCGCATTAATTCAATGCGATGCGTTGCAACAGTTTCCTACGATGAATAATATGCAAAACGACACGTGTGCCCACACACACGATCCCGCGCTATTTCTTAACAATTGAAAAACACGCGAGTGACGGCATTTTCACATCAGATGATTTCAATCGACACGTCAACTTGAAAAATTTAAATAAAATCACAGCATTTTTTTTTTTCGAACAGAAAATCTCACATTCCCTTCGACGGAAAGAAGGAAAACGATAAACTCACTTGGATTCTTACGGGATTCCCGTCGCTGTCCGTTACAACAACGTCCGAATGCTTCACCAGTACGTACACAGGCTCTACCCTTCGGTGAGCGTGGGAATTGAATATGACAATTTTTCTGCCATCGGTCTGGACGTAAATTGGCACCTGTCCGGCAAAAATTTCATTCCAGTGAAAGGATAATCATGGATGCCTAACGTCATACGACTGACGTTAAAAACTGTAATTTCTGGTTTGATTGTAATTTCTTTTTACACTCGAACCTCTCCAAGTCGAACTCCGAGGCAGAAGGAAAAAATTACAGTTTTTACCTTACAGAATACGGCCTCTTCTGTAGGAAAACGTTGAAATAATTACGAGAAAGCAAAATTGTTAATGTTTTAGGACTACAATTGATGTATAAATGAGATCACAGGATGCTCAACTAGAAAACAAGCGTAAAATTGCCCAAATAGTCATTTATTTCCTTTAGAAACATGAATCTAGTTACATTTTTATTTCTCTTCCATTTCCTTCGTCCCCAAAATAATGCATCAAACGCAAAACAAAACAAAAAACTTCAAGTAATAGCAGTTTGACGGGGAAATCCTTCGACTTATGGAGGCCTAGGAAATCAACGTTCTCAGGGAATTTCAGAAAGCACAAAAAAATTGACACAAGGAGGTTTCGACTTGAAGATGTTCGAGTAATCAAGTATCCACAGTATATAATTTAAAAATAAATTTAAATAATCTACCCCGCAAATAAATGCAGCAATATTCCTCACCTGCTGCGTTAACTGGTCATACTTGGCCCTGTCCCTCGCGTGCAGCACAAAAATGCCATCGTCCAACGAATATTTTGATACCAAAGGTCCATTATCCGATTCACTCTTTGCATCAATCAACGACTGAACTGCAAGCGCTTGAATTTTTCGAGCCCTCGTAAAAGATTCGTACAACTTGAGGCCGAAGTCTTGCGTCACTCGGATTTTCGACGTCCCGGTGATGGCGTCGTGATGCTGGAAAGCTGCCAAGTTTCTCCGCGAAATCACCATATCTTTGTACGTCAACTTCAACAGATCTTCGTAACGTTTCTGGAAAATTATGATCATTCATACTTTAACAATTGTCACGATTTCAATATACATTACAGTAATACTGTACGAAGAGTGATCAAAAAATACAGTTAATTTTGATGCCGCTTTCAACTAAAGCCCACAATGTCAGGAAACATTTCAGGACGCTTTTTGCAGTGGTTGAGAGCCTCTATTGCGAATAATTGTACTGTAAAACGATCCGTCATGAATCATCAATTAATGCATCATGGAATTTATTTTTTATCGCTTTGGAGAAAAGAAATCAACTTTTCATTTTTGAACGGCTTACAAGCAACTGATGGCATTAAACATGTTCGAATTCCAAAAACATATTGATAAACCCAGTTCTTGCTCAGAACTCCATTAAATTTTTTATACTTCCGTCACTGATTTGACGGTTCATCAGAAAAGCTAAAATACAGTAATATAAAAATCGAGTATAATAGGATATGAAATTTTTATTTTTCAATAGAAAACAATCAAAATAACCCTGGGATGCGTGAATTTTATCTAGCCAATGTACCCAAGAAGGAAAATATGTCAACTTCGTGTTTGCGTTTTTGAAATTTGAGACTTCTGGTAGAAAATAGTGGAGAATCTTGTTGGCGGGCTGTCAAGGACAAAATTAATTGTCAGGAGCATATTTGAGGCATAAATAATATTGTCAGACGGCGTCTCAACAGGTTTTGCCTGTATATTAATTACAATTGACAGGAAAGAAAAAAACTCACGTTATTCGCCTGCCTCGCCTTTTGGTAGGCAAACGTGTATAGAATCTCAGCATTTCTCAACACAGCCTCGGTTTCCCGCGTGAAGCTCTTCCAAAACGGCCTGGTTGTGAAATACCCCGACCAGTAAGCCGGCTCACCGTCGCTGAAAACGTCAGAGTACACGAAAAAGTCGCCTTGCAACGTGGGGAAATCCTTCGTCCACTCCCGAACCGCCTTAAAATAATCTTTCACTGTCCCAAATTTTATATCCGCATTATAAATATCCTTGTTGCCGTTGACGTAGTCGACGAGCTTCTCGTAGTTCTTGAACTGTTGATCCCATTCTTGCGAGTGGTCAAAGCGGAAATCGTCGCCCACAGGGACCAGGACCACGTTGTGCGGGAAAAGCGACGCAGTTCTCCTGTACTCTGGAAAAAGTTGAAATATTTGAGTTTGAAAAATACCGTTACTTTGAAAAAAAATTGTGCAATGAAAATTAATACGAATTAAAAATTATACCTCTTGAACACAAAGTTATTACCTTGAAAAAAAAAAACGAAACAGAAGTTCACTCAATGCCTTTTCTGATACACACAAATTAAAAATAATACATGTTTTCAAAACAGGGGATATATTAAATTATTCCATTCAATAAACCCGTGGTGGACATGACACTTTTTGAACTCGTGAACAGAGTTATACATAGTTCAAAATACTGTAATATCAAATGCTTTTCGTGCAACCCATTTCAAGATAACTTATGGCATTCCAAATATACACACAGGTAGACTCTCTCAAGAATTTTCTCTGTAAAGCGATTTTTTGTGGTCCCACAAGTGTTCTCTAAAAATAATTTTTCTCGGTCCCCTAAATTTCGTTTTTTAGAAAGTTCATTTGTATTTTACTAAAATTGGCATACTTTTTCTTGTTCCATTCTGGTCTTGCTCCTTTGTGACATATTAAAAATAAATGGATTCTTTGAAAACATTTTTCAGAAGACACAAGTACTGCAATTTTAAACTCATACTCAAATAGTTGATGGCGAACGGAATGCGAATGTAATCTTTTTTTGTTTTCCTCAAGTGATTTACACAATCCACGACCGCATTCATTGTAGACAAAACACTGAACCGTTGTCATTTGAGAAAAAATTTGCAACGTCAGCATTGTTCCTCGCAAGAATTACTGTACACGGAATCATGGGAGTCCATGATTAAAAACAAAAACCGCAGACACACCAACACCAACCTTCAACGAGCGTTGTCGCCTTGTCACGAATGTTATTGGCATCAATCTCCGTGGCACGAACCGAGAACTCAGTCAACTCCCCATGTATCTTCCGGAAATCAAACGCCAGACAAATCTCGTGATGCGGTCCACACGTGTGCTTGATCGAGTAAATGTCGTAGGGCATGTTGTGGCACAAAATGTCCGCCTCCGACGACGCGTCCCATCCCTGGCGCCACAAGAAGTCGCCAGCCTGTTGCGCAGCCAGCCACTCCTTCCAGGCAAAGTGAATTCGTTGAATGATCATTTGCTCCAGTCCGGACGCTCGGAGGAGATAAGGCACGGTGGCGCCGTGACCAAAGGGATCCACGGACCACCCAGACTCGGGCGCCACGCCCAGGTGGTGTCGGAGCCATTGGTGGCCCTCGATCAACTGGTCGATCATGGCATAAAGGTGCACCGAGGCCTCGTCCGTCATCACCCAGCCTCCAGTGGTGATTTCCAATCGGTTCTCGTCGATCAGCTCCTTAAGAACACGCTTTTCATCCGATGTCGCCCTATTTCAGAATATACAAAAAACAACAAAATAGCGTGATTATATATTTTTCATAAAAAAAACGCCCAACTTGTACATGAATTTGCATCTCAATAAATGTACAGGAACGAGTGAACAAAATAAAAATACCATGTAAATAGATAAATAAAAAATGCCAGCTCGTATAGTTTCTAATTTATATTTTTTCATAAATTATAACCGCAAAGATCCTAATCAGAAGAATACAGTTGAACCCCAATGGAATCCCCCGAAGTCGAATGTTTTTTTTTTCAAGTTACTCTCTGAATTCCCTCAGAAAAAAAAATGCATCAAGTACTTCCTTGACCTGAAGGCTTTCCACCTCAAGCCTACATTCTTACGATCTCTTGCCTCAAAAATGTCCCCCAATGACAAAATCATTGCACCCTTTTTCAAATCACGAATTAATTCGAACGTCAAGAGTTACACAACAAATAACTTGCTTTAAAACTACTTTCACTTTTGCCTCGTTGACGTTACCATCGAGCAACATTCGGAGTACTGCAGCTTCAATTAAGTATGGCTAATCAATTTATGCATTAACCCGGATCAGTCTTGTCTTCATGTTGGCTCAAGTTACTCAAGTGTTATTTCACAATAAGGTTAGGTTTCTATCGACAATTTTTTCAACGAAGAGCCAAAGCTTTAAAATATGAGCGAGGACAACCCGAAGAAAGAAAGTATTTCATTCTAGATTCGATCAGAAAAATGCGAATTCGTTCGCAAAAATAGGATAGCATAGCTAGCAAATGCTGTACTAAAAGTTTGTTTGCAGGAAGGGGGTTGTGGTAAATATTTATCTCACCTGTCCCAGTACATTGACAAGTAGCTCATTTCCGTCCACGTAAACGTCAAGCGCTTGAATTCGGTCAACTTCTTCACCATATTCCTCAGAATTGGCCCAGTTTGCAAGGTGTAGTATTCTTCCGCGGTTTTCAGCCAACCAGGGTCATTATGGCTCCAAAACATGAGAAACACCTAAAAAAGAAATCCGGAATAATTCCACGAATTCCCAATTTTTTCCACCAGCTCAATTAATCCTTACCTTCAAGGGAAGATTTTTGTGTTTCGTCTTTCGTAGCAAGTACCGCTCTTCGAATTTCTGGTCCCAAAAGGACCTCAAAGACGCCCATGGCGGCTAAAAAAATATAAAAAATTGTGTCGGATGATTTTCCTGAAGCTTTTCTTTTTTTATCCGTCCGAAAAAAATGTGAACACGGAAATTACATGGAACTCTCCTCGAGACGAATGTCTGGAAACTCGTTATGCGCGACTAATTCGGACATCGAACTCGGCCTTCTCGGTCGAGCAAATTTTTCGAACAGATGACGGAACTAGACACAGTACAGTACGCTATAAACACATTTTAAAAAGTTGACAATGCATCAATTCCTTTCCTCAGTTAAAGTTTAAAAGATACAAAAGAACTCGAATATTTATCCGGCAAAATATTTTCAAGGAAAATTTAAGACTTATGCGTCAACACGAACCAGGTTTAAGGTTTCATCAGTTAGGGATAAATTGTGTGAAAAAACAAAATCATTCATTTTGCAGACACCGTATTTTTTTCTCTGGTCTAAGATACACTTAAATACTGTACTCCCTTCAAAATAAAATATATTCAGTATGCTAATAATTTTTAGAAGCGAGGATCTTATTCAGATGTAAGGTTGTTACCATGTGATAGTTTGGCGATTCAATACAGTATATATTCTTTCAAATTATTTGCGCAATTTTTCCTCAATAAATCGCAGCGCACTGCCTTTGTCGTGCAGGATTGTGTACTTGCAGAGAACACATTTCGACATTTATGTGTAAGAGATCAATAATTTCTGGCAATTAACTTGGGAAAGATTAATTTCTGAACCGTGACTTGAGCAAGTTGGAGTTTATTCGGTAGACCATCAGCGACGATAAATCAAAGCCGAGAATACTCACTTGAAAGTTGAAATTTTTGAAAACTTCGAGAGTATTGATATCGGCTGATGCTTCACCAATACGTGGGCAGGTATCCGGTGGGGCGAATACTTTGTTCAAATTCCGGTGCTTCGAATCCGTAAATCGTGTTTTCAATGAGCTGTGCAATAACTTTGTCGACGTATTGCCTCCGAAGTCCAACGAATTAAAGATAATGAAGATGGGGATCCCCACGAAACATACGATCAGAAGCCATCTGGCTGCTCTCCGGCGAAAAAGTTTGATCATCTTCACGGAAAGATCTCAGACCGTACACTAATCGTTTCACGGTGCATTGGCAAGGCTTGGCAATCAAGTAGGCTACGAATCCAACAACACGTTCTGAAGTAGTCGTTCAACAAAGGGAGTGAACCAAGGTAAGCAGTACGGAATCAGGAAGCTTCCCTTGACACGCGCGCAGCACGACTGGCAAGAAAACCCTCGGAGTGCCCCACATTTGAAACGCGGTTGCACACGCACCTAGAACGAAAGCGGAAACAATAGAATATTCAATGCGACACTCCTCGTCTTCCAGGGTTCGAAATCACATCGATTTGGAAGATGTATAACGATACGCGAGGAGTGCGCACAAAGTGACAAATGTTCTTGGTAAACGCCGGAATAAACAGATCAACACCGTAAATCAAATCGTTCACTGACGTGAATAACACTCATTCGATCGACTGAAAAGCATACATAATCAACACCACTGCCACAAAAATTCGAGTCAGAGACCGCACAACGTGTTCGGAAGAAAATTCGGATAACGCCAAACGCACAAAAAGTGAGATTCGTATTGAATGAATGCACCATATTAAACAACCGTATTTCTAAGGACGTCATACTTCTATTCAACTCCTCGATCCTCGCCAAATCGGGAAGATCATTAACGACGCACAAGGATAACTAGTTTCCCGAAATCACGTTGACAACGACCAGAATTTCACAGTATTCCTAATACTTCAACGTCGCGAAAGCGACTGATGATATCCCATGCTCAACCTCATGCGTTAAAGTGGTTAAACGCTCACACCCCCTTCCTATAAAGAACAGGAACCAAAGAGTCCACTGCTTTTTGAAAGAGCACTACGGTACAGCAGCATACAGTACACACAGATACTACAGCATACTGTCGCCAAATCCTGCATATTCTCAGCAATTGCTAAAAACCATGATATTACTTCACTGAAAAAAAGTGAGAAAATACACATAGGACATGTGTACCAAGACCTGACATTTTTTGTTATATTCATCATTGAAGTCCAACTAAAAATAAATACGTAATGTAAATAAGACTTGCCACTCTTCCGGAAAAAATGAATGCACATTTTTAAAGACCAAACTACAAAGGAAAATTAGTGTTTGTCAATTTACAATTAATCCTCATTTGTCATGGCACATTTTCGGCATGAAGCAAGAGTATTCTAAAAGAAGAAAATCTTGTTTGAGGATGCATAAATTTTAGTCCAGGTAATGTAACTTGTCTGTACTGTATATGTACAGAACTGTTGAGACACTGCTGCATGAGGCTGTTTCATGAAGAAGAAAGCCACAAGAAATAATTTAGATCCAGAATTCACTTTTTCATACTGAGATTCAACATGGAGTAATGTATTTAATTAAACAGAATATTTGGTATCAGTGATAAAACATTGTCAAAATAAAGCTTTCTTCATCACAGAATGCTTCCAATTTGCCAAGTAAGTCCCTTTCTAGTTGAAATTCTTAATACAGTAATAATCTAATACTAAAACAATAAATATTTATAGCATCAACAAAAGTAAGCATTCTGCAGAGGCTGAATGAATGTAGGTGGCTTCTATATGAAATCATCACCATGGAGATTATTTAACCTCTATACAAACATTAAATGTATATTCAACTTTTGCAAAAATGACACATAAGAATAAGTGGAAAGATATTTCTAATTTACAACAAATATTTGCAATGCTGCTGAATAATGCATCTGTTTACAGAAAATTTGCAACTGATGACTCATAGATTGAATCCCCTCATCTTTTATATACATACACATTTTGCATGTTAAAACAGCAAGAAGAAACTGACAGAATAAATCACATAAATACCGTACACAATTTCTCTTTTTTTCATTTCCTCGGCAGCAAACACACAACGTACACCCAAATAGCAAAAACACCACAGGGATATGCATACGCATGAACAGCTAAAGCAAACTCAGCATCAACACTAGACCTTTCATGGATTTTTGTAGAACAAATAGATTCCGCTATCTGAGCCTCATCTCTGAACCCGAAATGCAGAAGGAATCCCGAAAGATCATACGCACCAACCAAGTCTCTCATTCTCTCGCTGCACTCTTCAGCCAAACCATTCGTCGCCGCGCCAATAACATTTTGCCCATTTTTCAGCAAAACCAGCGAGTTCCGAAGCACAGCAGTACAATGTCTGTTCCACTGCGTTCTCACAGTTTTCCTCCACGTCATGAACTTGTCCTTCAGGGATGCCTCCAGGCTTTTCTCCAGCTCCTTCGCCAGCGCAGAGTCAGCTGACACATACGCCAGCCTGCTGGGCTGCACTGCAAAAGTGGTACCTTCTGCTGATGATGGTAAGCTGACCTTGGTTGCTTTCCACCAGGTCTTCAGAGATGACCAACACGCTGTGTTGGAAACGTCAAAATTGACAGTGGCCAGGGGAGAGTCTTCTTGAACATTGGCCCACACGTTGCCGGCGTCGAACATGTAAATGATTTTGTCCAGGGGGCAGAGGGGGTCGTTGAGACTGTAGCACGTGCCAGCTGATGGCACCCACACCTTGATCATATGCCGGTGTTTCCAGGACTTGCTTGGGGCTGTTATTATGAAGGTTGATTGGCCACAGAAGATGCTGGATCCACAAGCAACTCTCAAGTCAAACTGGAAAAGGAAGAAAACAATTATTGTAGACAGTACAGTACATACGAGGGTTCTAACAAAACTTCTCGGAGTAGCAATGAAAATGGCCTACAGTTGAGCTGAAAAAAATTTGTTCTTTCGGGAAAACATATTCTTTGGCACACAAAAAGAATATTAGCCCTGTTTGACAATTTTTTTGAATTTTTTTCATAATTCACCCTGGCAGAGTTTTTCTCTCCACTCAAAAGATGAGGCGCCCTTTTTTTGTTTCCCTCAGAATTTTTGAAATCCACTTGGCATTATCTTTCTAAGGGTTGCCTCCAGGTCATCCAAAGCAATTCTGTCATTTTCATCAACAGCCGCCTTCAGCACAAAAAAAAGGGCGCCTCATCTTTTGAGTGGAGAGCACCCTGCAAAATTTTGCTGACGTTAAGCTTCAACTTCAAGCACGTTTTAACTGACGCTCTGTTAAAAATAACCAAGTTTATATGGTTTGAGTGGAGAGCAAAACTCTGCCAGGGTGAATTATGAAAAAAATTCAAAAAAATAGTCAAACAGGGCTGATATTTTTTTGTGTGCCAAAGAATATGTTTTCCCAAAAGAATAAATTTTTTCAGCTCAACTGTAGGCCGTTTTCATTGCTACTCCGAGAACTTTTGTTAGAACCCTCGTACACAGAGCACCCAGATACATTGCCTAATTGCATTAAAGGAATTTAATTGTTTCCCCATTAGATTGTATCTGGTACAGCATAGAAAAGGGTTTTTACATAGGGGGTATCCTCCCTGTATATAATCACACAACTGGTACAAATGGGATACACAACTGGGACTAAAAGAACATTTCTTTTCAAAAGATATATATCCAACCCAATATGTTTAACTTACCTTTTCCTGCTCCTTCTCATCCTTGAACATCACATTGTTGAGGTATAAAAAGTAGTTCGCTAGTAAAATGCAGTGCTGATGATAGTCACCAGCCAGACAAGACAAAAACTGATCACACGATAGCCAAAGATGCCTCGTGACTTCATCACTCGCCAAATCAGGAACATGCGGAATCAGCGACACGAAATAAGCACAAGCATTAGCTCTCGGCAAAATCCCCGGCTCTTCTATCTGATGCAGTATTTCGATCGGAGGAGCCAACGGCTTCAAGTATCTGCCAATTTAGAAAAAAACAAAGACTCAATAAAAATGGAGATAATTATTATTGATAATTACTGTATATACCTGCACACAAGCACAGCTTTTCCGGAAGAATTGCAAACCAACGGCTTCAGTTTTCTCTTGGGGAATTTCTCTTGATGCTGTTGAACCCACGTCATGGTGGACTCGAAAAGATCAAGGGGTTCTTCTGTTGGTTGCAAGGCACCCATGGCCAATGGCTCAGAGCAAGTAATTGGCGGCTCTGTGGTGAGGAAGAGCATCAATTGGCTCGATTGTTGACAGCCATTTTCGTTCGTTTGTCCTTGTCTAACGTTGGAAACTGAGCCTAATTGCTGCTCTCCTATGGGTGACACTGCTCGCAATCCGGGGGACGACCAAAGATCCTGAATATAAATGAAGTCCATTAAAAGAACAAAAGTTAATGATGTCATCGAAAGGGTCCGCGCGTAACGAAATATTTTTACAACAAAATTTGATTTGATAAAATATAATCACATACAATTTTCTGGGCAAAAATGCATGAATTTCAGCAGGTTTAAAGCTTGAAATTGTCTTCAATTCCATGGTAAACATTACAAACGATAAAAGAAAAGTTAAATTGTGGCATTCTATTCTTGCTAATTAAAAAAAATAATTTCAGAAGTATAGAGAGCATACATTTCTGAAATATTGGTGTGGAATGCACAGTATTCAAAAAATCCCTCCATTTTTTTCAGGAGTGTCAGATAAAGTATTTTTTAAAACTAAAGTTCAATCATGTTTTGCAAAACAAAACTCATCCAGGCGCAGATTACATCAGTGGGTCCACATTTCACGCAGAGGAATCATTATTGAACAAAAACATTTCATTCGAATTTTTTCAAGGTTGAAGAAAATGACGCACATAAAAAAGGAAAAATAAAGTTTTGTCACTTCTTGCATTTGAAATTTGAGACTTCAAGAAGGTTAGGAGAAAGAACTTGTCAGGACTACTTCAAATTCATACTGATCAAACTAGAATTTCAACCCCCGGTTAACGAACTGTCCGGTTAACGAACCGGCGAAAATAGGATCCGTTTCTGGTCGAGTGGTCCGGTTAACGGACCGCCATTTGGTTAACGAACCGCAGTCAGGCTGTTGCGCGTGCGGCGTTCACTACTCCTCCTCTTATCAATTCTTGTTTGGCTCAAAAAATGTGCATTACACATGTTTATAAAGCTTCAGCTGAGTGATTGTGTTGTGTTTTCACTTGTTCTGTAACAGAACAGTGCTTTCCACTGCTGGGAGTGTGTGTTTGTGTTGGTTTCTTACTTTTATTCCATCTGTTCAGATGAACAATCATTTGTACAGTACTGTATTGTGTTTCAGTTGTATTTTATCTGGCTTGATTTCTTCTGTTTTAGATCTGCAAAAAAGTGCATCCAATATGCCAAACTCAAGTGGCAAAAAAAGAAAGATCTTCACTCTTGAAGAGAAGAAAGTCATCATTCAGAGGCTCCTTGATGGTGAAAGACAAGTAGATTTGGCCAAGGAGTATGGGCTGAACAAATCAAGCATTAACACCATGTGGTCTACCAGGGACAAGATCTTGGGTGCTTGTGAGACTGCTCCAAAGGGTGCAAGCAGAATCCCCAGCAAAACCCAAAGGCACCCAGTGCTGGATGAACTTGAGAAGCTTCTCCTCATCTGGATTGAAGACATGCAGATGAGAGGTGATCCTGTGTCTGGAGAGCACATCTGCAGGAAGGCCAGGAAGATCTATGAAGAACTCATCAAGGAGTATCCTCATGGAGAAGGTGTTGAAAATGAAGAGGAAGAAGATGGCCATGAAGAAGAGAACAAAGGTTTCAACAGTTAGTACAGTTTGTAATATTAATAGTAGCTTCACAGGTAAACTTCTCCAGTGTACAGGATCTGTTCAGCTATAGATGGTAATGAAATTCTTTGCATGTTTTACAGCTAGCCATGGCTGGTTTCACAGATTTCAAAAAAGGACTGGGATCAAGAATGTGAAGATGACAGGAGAAGGAGGGAGTGCTGACCAGGAGGAGGCACTTGCCAGAAACTTGCACATGGATGTTGATGAAGAAGATCTCACTGAACTTGTCCTGGAGGACATAGAAGACCCAAGTGTGGAGGAGCTGAGGGAAATGGCAGCTGAAAAAGCAGAGGATGCAAAACAGAGAGAGTTGACTAAACCACGGCAGTGAGTTTGCCTCCTCATTCTTTATTGTTCTTCATTTTAATAAATTGTGAAATGAGTAGGGGAAACGATGACATGGTCTTACAATCTTTCTTTGTCTGCATTTTTTCAGAGTAACATCTGATGAAAAGTGCAACATCAAAGCAGCCGCCATCAAGGACATTCTAGGAAAATGGAAAGAAGTTCAAGACTTCTTCATACAACACCATCCCAACCAGGTTGAGGCTCATCAGGCTGTGGATGTTACAGAATCTGTTTGTGGCAGGCATTTCCATAATCTCCTCCAGAGCAAAGAAAAGCAAACAACAATTCGCAGATTCTTCTCTCCTGAGAAAGCTGGGCCATCAGGTGTCCAAGCTTGACCATCAGGTGTCAAAATGAGGGCAATTGATGATGGAAGTGACTCTGACTGAGTTTTTTGTAATGATTTTGTAGTTGACTGACATGAGAACTGTGCTGTATTGTTTCATGTGTTGACAGAACATGAAGTGCAGATGTTGTGCAGTCACAGCATTTCAGTGTTTTCTTTTATTTTCAATTTTTTTCCACCAAATTTCAAAATTTCGGAACAAATTAAATTTTTTAACATGTAAGTCTATGGCGGATCTCATTTCGGTTAACAAACCCCCCGGTTACCAAACCAGTTTGTGGAACGAATTAAGTTCGTTAACCAGGGTACGACTGTACTGTGCTTACTTGAGTAACACACACCCTGAAGTTGTCAGATGCTCACCCAAATTTTTCAGTCTAAAAGTTTGATAAAAATGAATCCCCAAGTAAAACACACACACTATTTTTAGAGACTGAAAATGGCAAAATATTCTGAAAATAAAATACATAAGAATTAAAATTTTGACTTAAACTGTTGTCAATTTGAGCTTTACTTTTCCACTGTATCCATTTTAAAATTTGTTCTTGCTGAAACTGGTTCAAAATTCCCAGTTGGAATCGAGAATGATGCACAACAAAGCTTTTACCAGCTTTAAAAATTGTATACCCTCTTTCAATTCCCTCTGAATTATAAAGAAGTGCGCATATTGTAAACTCAAGTAATATGATATTCTACAATGAAAACTTGGAAAAATGAAGTTTTAAAGATTTAATTCAATTTTTTGTGAGCGCCAGGGATGAATAAATTTTTTTTAAATTTTAGAACTCGAGGAAAATCATGCTTCACGTGATGAAAATTTTGCAGAAAAAAATTCATTATCCACAAAAGATTGCTGTTGTAATGCGGGACCCACCTGACAGTAATTTATATACAGGGTTTGGATAAAAAATTACTCACCTTAGAAACAGGGCTGCCACCAGCATTCTGCCAAGTATATCCAAGTAAAACCTGAGGGGTATCTATCTGAAAAACCCCTTCTAACCTTGGCTGAGACAACAGAGCAGAGATTTTAATTCTCACAGAGCCCAGCCAAAATTTCTCCACCCTTTTGTGAACAGTGGTGCTTCTTTCCCGATTGTCCTCCAAGATGTCCACAGCACACTCATCAAAGATACTCAGCAAAACCTCGTCCGTGGCCTTTGGAGCCCTGATTGGCAAACTCAGAGTTTCATTCCAGCTCGGAGAAGATCCCTTGCTCGTGCAAGTCCTCGTTTTCAAGTCCTGGAAACTCAGTTCCACAAACGGACTACACAGAGATCCCTGTTGCTGAGTCCTGGTTGGCAACCCAACAGCTTGTGTGATATTGACCACAAGTTGAATGTCCATCGACAGATGATGAGCGTCGATGTTCAGAGGTCTTCTGTCCACAGCAGTTGGTCTCAAGGGTCTCCTGGGGGCAAAGGGTTCCAAAAGCTTTCCTCCCACAACCCCGATATCCGGGACAGACTCTTCGTAAACAACGTCTGACAGAGATTTCCGATTTTGGCTCGAGTCTAAAGCCTTGCAGATCCATCCGTAAAGGGATTCCCTGGCCACTTGCAAACGTTTCGAATGACTGTTTGTTCTTCCTAGACCCTCAAGCGTGGAGGAGAAGATTTGCTTAGCGTGTCCGTTATCGTGTCCCTTGAGCATCTCTAAAACTGCTTTCACATTCGGCTGGTTGCTGTTCAAGACTGAGATAGTGGACGGAACAAAGGTCAAGTTTCTAAACTGTCCCACGCCAGCAAGTCTGAGTCTGAGTGCCCTGAACCTCGGGTCATTCGTTAACGTTTCCTCAGAACAGAACTCCAGTTCCGAGTCCAGGTTTTCCAAGTGACATCTGCCCACAGGAGCGTGAACTTCGGCTCGATGAGTTTCCAACATCCTCGCCAGGGATGTCCGGGGATCCAAGGCGTGCTGAGATGCCCAATTCAAGAGTTTTTCCTTATTCGAAGCTGCGGACAGTCCAAGAGCAGAAATTGGGTCTGTGCTAGACAGGGTGGTCTTTAAAAAGTGTCGGTTGGATTGGGTGTCTTCAGGAGGCGCCGTTGTTTCCCCGTCTTCATTAGTCGCCCAAGCTACAGAGCATTTGAGGGTCCCGTTGGTGTAAAGCGTCTTGTGCGCAAGTCCCTGGATTTATCAACAACCGAACATTTTTGTCAAATTAATGGAATTTATTGGGAGGCTGGTAAATAAAAATTTGAATAGATTCTCAAATAGCAAAAATTTAAATGCAGGAAAGCTTAATTTAAATGAATACGAAGCTGTAAACATGTTCGTGACAGGCAATATTGAATAAAGATTGACCTAATTTTCACACTAAAATAAGAAAAAAATATTTTCCTTCATCTGCTAATCATGCATATTTTCTCTTTTCCTCTGAAAAAAAAAATGTTTGAGCTTGTTAAGGCATTCAAATGAAATTCAGATCTGTTTTCCAAGATAATTTTTTTTTCAGTCTCAATTTTGCTTCCCTGCCTTTTGCGTTTTCAAAATACTGCATTGTAGCTTAAAAATCACGTTTCGCACAAGCTTTGCAAATTTTGCCGATGTACACTTATGCCATCAACACCCCATTCGACAAATGAAAATATTTAAAGTTCAATTTGATCATCCGAAAGCACGGGAATTAGACATTTCTCTGACCACAATACAAAATACAGGTGTACTCCCTCTATACAACGATTTTTCTACGAATTTTTGCTTGTTCCCAATTTTTAGGGGTTCTCTACAACGGAATTCTCTCTTAAACGAATTATTTTCTGGTCCCTTGAATTTCGTTTCAAAGAGTCCACTGGTACAATAAAATTTTTTTTAGCAGCGTGGAAACGGTATGCTTTTTTGAAAATATTGCTCAAAAATCCGTGCAAAATTGTATGGGTAACTTTGTGAGCAAAACTATTCACTTTTACCTCATTCTGAACATCCTCAAGATCCTTTCCAGCTTCGGGCTGATCAGAAGGAACTGGAAACTGAATCCCACTCCCAACACCCCCATGAGCTGGGCTACAAACAGCATCCTCGCCAGTGAAGTCGAATTCTTCCTCCACAGCGTCTTCTGCCAACTGATTTCTGGGCGGAATGGGCAAGTAAATCTTGGCTAGCTCCGTTTTACTCCTTTTGCCTCGTCTAGAAGCATTCGTTTCAATAATGGCGACGACTATCGAATCCGGTGGCTGGTACAAGTGACACATGACCTCTTCATCCAGGTCAGCCTCAAATGGACCCATTAGACTCGCGAACGCAGTGGGTCTCGTTTCGCTGACCAATTTCTGATTTATGTAAATTTTGACAGAATACTTGAGATGAGACAATGCTTTCAGCCTCGAGGTTTCCTTTCTGGACGGAATTTTACTTTTTCCAGTGACCGGGGAGTCGTATCTGATTTTTAAGGTGAGTTTTGGTTCACTCACGGGGTCCAGATAATTGGCAACTCTTTCTTCCGCCAACTTGCGAATTTCCTCAGCGCACATCACTTGAGGAATCGGTGGTAAAAGACCCTCGGAATCTTCAGTCTTCCTCTTGTAATTATATTCCCGGAAGGCTTCTTCGTTTTCCGCACCCAGCTCTTCTTCTATGGCTCGACATTCTTCCCTGACCTCGGATGCCCACAGGGATTCATTTGCTGCCAGATCGGGTCCGGAAACAGCGATTAAGAGTCTGTGAGGAGTGAGATTGAAGCCCTGGTCTTCTCTGAAATGCCTCAGGGCCAGCCAGGCATTGAGTGCAGCCTTGATGTCTGCTCTTCGAGTTAGGAAAACGTTTTCCCTTTCAACCACAGCGAGTTTCAGTTCTTGAAGCAGAAGAGTCGAAGGTTGGTTCCTGTATGCGGATCTCAAGTGTCTCACTCGGGTCTGGGAATCTTGCTCTTGGGCATCGTAGTCAGATGCGATGACTTTGATGGTGATCTGCTCAAATTGCTCGGCTAAGACGTGCTCCTGTTTCAAGAGAAAATATATAGATATCAGTTCTCTGTACAGCTAATTTTCAATAAGCGTTACTGATTTTGAACTGCTTAAAAATAAATAAAATCACCAAACAAAAATGCGCCATGTATGGCACAAATCCAGACTTGCAACATACCAAAGCGTGTATCTCCAAACATTGTTGAGGAATTCCACAAGACCTTAAACTGAAGCTAAAGATGTTCTCTGATTTTTCTATAATCATAAAAAATTGATCTGACTAATGGATCTTGAGATATTTCCACTTTTGCAAACCTAACTTTTTTCTTTGGTGATAAGAATATGAGAAACCTGGACACAAGATTCTTATCTCACTGGTGCTAACAGTGACTTTCAAAGCCTATTTTTTTTCAAAATCACTGCATTTAATTCTGGAACAAATGAAGCTTCTAAAAACGGTTTCAAAAGTCTTCTCATTTTGGGCTATGAGTGTTAGGAAGAATATATCTTCGTTGAGTACCTGAATTTGGTGTACAATATAGGCAGTGCAGTTTAATTTTGCAAAAATCAAGCCCTTGGGACCTAGATGATTAAAAGAAAATTTTTGACAAGCAGAATCAAACAAATTGTGGCTACACTGGAGGGACCTCAAAAATGACTTTCTTCTACAAAATAATTTGTTGTAACAAGATTCTAGCTTTAATTTAAGCGCCTTCATCTGAATTTTCCAACAGGAAAAAAGGGGTATAACAAAGAATTCAAAGCAAGGATCATTGTATATAGCACGGCTTTCTCGTTTCGGTTAAGCTCAAATTCATTTCAAAATCTTAAACTTTTACCAAGGAACCAATAATTTTTTGCTTGAAGCCTACGAGAAGCGCTATTTTCTGTACAAAAAAAATGTCGCTTTTAATGTTACAAGCTCAGAAAAACTCAAAACCTAAAAGTATTCAGTTTCATATTCTTCAAGGGTAACTATTGCCAGCACAACAAATTATGAACACAATTAGGGTGAAAGTAAGAGAATTTATCAGACGTAATAGGATTTCAGAAAAATACCTTTGAGAACAACGGATGATGACGAAAGGTCAAGCGAGAAAAGCCGAGGACTAATCGATATAATCCCAATGGTTGACCACCGTCAGCAACATTCGCCAAAGCTGGAGGCACGAACATCACGTTCCTGCTCGCCGAAATTTCCACATCCACGTCTCTTGGGCTTATGGCGTGACGATGAAAGGATCTGGACTCGTTTTCCCTTTCAACCACAGCGAGTTTCAGTTCTTGAAGCAGAAGAGTCGAAGGTTGGTTCCTGTATGCGGATCTCAAGTGTCTCACTCGGGTCTGGGAATCTTGCTCTTGGGCATCGTAGTCAGACGCAATGACTTTGATGGTGATCTGCTCAAATTGCTCGGCTAAGACGTGCTCCTGTTTCAAGAGAAAATATGGAGAAATCAGTTCTCTGTACAGCTAATTTTCAATAAGCGTTACTAATTTTGAACTGCTTAAAAACAAATAAAATCACCGAACAAAAATGCGCCATGTATGGCACAAATCCGGACTTGCAACATCCCAAAGCGTGTATCTCCAAATCATTGTTGATGAATTCCACAAGGCCTTAAATTGAAGCTAAAGATATTCTCTAATTTTTCTATAATCATAAAAAATTGATCTGACAAATGGATCTTGAGATATTTCCACTTTTGCAAACCTAACTTTTTTCTTGGTGATGAGAATATGAGAAACCTGGACCCAATATTCTTATCTCACTGGTGCCAACAGTGACTTTCGAAGAATATTTTTTATAAAATCACTGCATTTAATTCTGGAACAAATGAAGCTTCTAAAAACGGTCTCAGAAGTCTTCTCATTTTGGGCAGCAATGAGTGTTTGGAAGACTTTATCTTCGTTTAATACCTGAACTTGGTGTACAATATATACAGTACAGTTTAATTTTGCAAAAAACAAGCCCTTGGGACATAAATAATAATAAAAATTCTGACAAGCAGAATCAAACAAATTGTGGCTACACTGGAGGGACCCAAAAATGACTTTCTTTTACAAAATAATTTGTTGTAAGAAGATTTCTAGCTTCAATTTAAGGGCCTGCATCCTGAATTTTCCAACAGGAAAAAAGGGGTATAAGAAATTATTCAAAGCAAGGATAATTGTATATAGAACGGCTTCTTCTTTTCGGTTAAGCTCAAATTCATCTCAAAATCTTGAACTTTTACCAAGGAACCAATAATTTTTTGCTTGAAGCCTACGAGAAGCGATATTTTCCGAAGAAAAAAATGTCACTTTTAATGTTAGAAGCTCAGAAAAACTCAAAACCTAAAAGTATTCAGTTTCATAATCTTCAAGGGTAATTATTACCTGCGCAACAAATTATGAACAAAATTCGCGTGAAAGTTAGAGTTGTCAGACGTAATAGGATTTCAGAAAAATACCTTTGAGAACAAAGGATGATGACGAAAGGTCAAGCGAGAAAAGCCAAGGACTAATCGATACATAGGGTTACCAACTGGTGGCAGTCGTTGTAAGCGGTTTCGACCTCCGTGCTTGTAGTGCAAGGACGAGCGGCTTTAAAGGTGTAGGTGCAGAGAACCCGAATACCGCACTGCTACTTTCCTAGACCTGAATGTTGAGGACGCCAAAACCGCTGCCCAACCTACAAAAAAGCCAACCATAATTTTGTCGTAGATTTTCATTTCATCAAATGCTGTCAAAATTCACCGAGAGCGAAGACAGGTTAAATTTCATCACAACAAAATTGCGGGGGAATTGAGAGAAAAAAAACCGAGGTGTTCAATTAATCAAGTGACATTCAATTTCAAAAGAAAGGACAAAAAGCAAGAATAACCTTCGTCAGTGTCCTCATTCCTTCGGAAAGAACGTTGCCTGTTTTGAACCCGGTTCCAGTTGGCCTTCGACACGGACGCGGGTTGCGACTGTTTGGTTGCAGTGCCACGTTCTTCATCGTCATCATCATCTTCTTCTACGAGAATCGACGACGGCTTCGCAATTACTTCAAATTCTCGAGAAGAATCAAACATTTCCGGCTGTACTGGCTTCGTCACCAGGGTGTCGATCAGGTCATCAACGTCAACTGCTACATCACCAGCAGAAGGCTGAGACCAAACGAAAAACGAAAACAATCGGAAAGATAATGTCACACACGATCGAACATAACCGCGCAAAAGCAAATTCCAGCTATTCTCCAATGAACACATGCACAGAACAGCAATTAATATAAAAGAATATTTTGACAAGAGAGCATGTGCTCAGATCAACATATATGAATCGAAATAATAAATTCACACAAGAACCATGAAATAAAACGCATAAAAAAAGGAAGTTTACACACGAAGTAACGAATACTGTTCCACAAAAGCAAAGGCATAAAATAACAAGTGCGCGAAACAAAATCTAAAAATACGGTAAGCGAGCACAAGCACACAAATAGAAGAGCACGTGCTCAAGAAAACAAAAACCAAAAGGGCAAGGGTACACAATAATTACAATAACACAGGTGCAGATAATAACCAAGAGCTCAAAACAGCATGAAGAAAAAGGCGAATTGCACAGAACAACATAAGAAATAAAGAACATTTGCTCAATTATATAGGACAAGAATAAAAAGAGACAGGTGAACAGAACAGCATAAATAAAACGGAATTAGAGCGAATTTTATTTATACGAACTATTGTTCAAGAAACTTGTTCTTCCGCGTCCTTGGTTTGCGATAATTGCAAATTTTGAGGCTCGTTAAATACCTAATTCGCTCTTAATCTCAAGAATCCCGAATTAACGACACTCAAGACGAGGAACAAAAGTTACAATTCTCGGAGAAAATCTAGGCCTCACCTGCGCAGGTTCTGAGAAAGTTGGCGAAGACGGCGTTTGATGAATAAAAAAGCTGATGGACTCCTGATAAGGAATTTTGCGATGTGCAGTCTGCCATTTCTTCCGGGCCATGTTTGATGCATCACGTCCTCTAGTGTCATACGCCTGCTGATCGAACCGAGTTGGCACATCTTTTTGCGCTTTCAACGTCTTCAAACGACTCTCTTTCGGAATCCGCTTCATGGAGAAAGCTCAGAGCTATAAATTGAACATGTAAACTTTAGCAGATTAGGAAAACTTCCCAAAAAATTAGAAATTTTCCAGAAAAAAACAGAATACAGAAAAATCATTTCCTAGAGTTTTCCAACGTAAAACGTCAATAAATCTAAGTTTAATTACGTCGGGTTCTTATCTTGAATCAATTTAGGAAGTGGACATTTGTTGGGGTTCGAAAATGCTCAAATTTATAATATCGATAATGACTTGTTTATCGGAAATTTTCCGCACATGGAAAATTTTTATGAACATTCAACAGAAGTTCATTTCTTCAGGGATTTTGAAAAATCTCTTCATTCCATTTACTGAAACTTAACTCGAAATTTAGAATAATATGGAAATTTAAAATACAGTACTCTAAAACTGATAATGTCTGTACAAAGACCAAGAATTAGATTCGGATATTTGGTCAGTGGAAATCTACCGCCCATAAAAAATTCAATGTACATTCAAGTACTGTACAGCATTTCATTTCTTCACGGATTATAAAAATTCCTTTCATTCCACTTTCTGAAACTTGACTCGAAACTGAATCACGAGAGAACTGGAAAAATGGATCAGAAATGAACTAACCGAGAACGCATGAAGTAATACTGTGCATGAATCCAGTCTCTTTCTCTCGTATTGCCAAGCGTCATGACAACGGGCTGGATCAATAATCAATACCCGCCACCTGGTTCCCCATCATGCAGGTATACGCGGTCGCAACCCGGAATTATTGATCCATTTAGTCAGCGTTCCATCGCCGGTAAACGAGGATTATGCAAAAGCTGAAAATTGTGGTTGCGGGTCCGAAAAAGGTACGAATATTTTCTGACTGATTCCGAAGAAAAAATGTATTTTTATCAATTATGGAGTTTTTTGATGTGCAAAAAATACCTGGTGCTTCCGAGGGTGTGAAACGGTGAAATGATAAGTTCATGAAAAATACCGATCCCAGAAAAATATTTTTGGTCATCATTGAGTGCAATATTTTCAATCGTTGACCATTTGTCAATTTTTCCTTTCCGTTAAATACTTTTTCAGTTCAGCAAATGCGCAAAATTTCCTCGCTACACCCTCCCGTGTACTTCACGGTTCAAAGAGACATGACTCAAAAATAAGCCTCGGTCAATACTGTTCGAATTCCATAAAAAAAGGGAAGCATCCAATTCTGAATCTAAAAGTTTATGCAACACATTTCTCATCAGTATAGATAAACGCAATATTTTCAATATTGGAGAAGACAAACTCAACTTTCCCAGTACTCCTAAAAATTTGACATGGATATCTTGCTAGATAAAAAATAATTGAAGGAGGTCCAAATAAATTTCGAACAATAAAACTGGATTTACAAAATAATTCAAAGGCTGAAAACCTGAATTTCGGCTCAACCATCGAAATCGGAAACTTTCGATGAAAAAATAAATGCATTTCTGGAGAGCATGTTAGCAGCTCTGCTTAACGTCCGATCTTTCTAGGGCGGTAAAACCGTTCTCGCAAATATTTTGGCGGAAGCGAGCGAAAACCCCATTGGAGCTTACAGGCCGACAAAAGGAGTAAGGATAATAGAATTCGAAGGCACAGCTTCTGGCTCATCTTCCTCCGGGTTGCCATTAAATGTCAAGGTTGACGTGGAAATGTGGGACTGCAGTGGCGATGCTTCGTAAGTACCCAAAAGTCAAGTAAAAATAGGCCGCATTCTCAATTTTGGAAAGCCTTTGAAGCAGAAAAATAAAAAAATGCAAGAAACTGGAAAGTTTCTACAAATTGGCGACACCTTTTCCAAGCAACGAAGTCCACGGAGTTTCCAAATTTTCTAAATAAAAAAGCAGAAAATACGTTAAAATAGGTTTTCAATGGACTGCGTATGACGAACAAACAATCACGTCTCATGAGTGGAAGTGAGTCAGGGTATTTCAAATTACTGTACATTATTTCCCATTCTTTGCGATAAGCTCGAGTACGCAAATGATTCGGCAGTTCGTTTTACACTGAAGGATTTGAATTATCGCACAATAGATTTTGGACTGAAAGTCAAATCGCTTCTGAAGTCTGTCTCACAATATCATCAAGAAAAATGCCTTCAACTTAAGGATCACAGGAAAAATGCGAACGCGAAAATGATCTAGTTCAAAATAGAAGGGCTCAAGCTTCCAATTCATACGAAGCACCATTCAAAACGTTCTTTTTCAGACGACGACACAGGACACGTGTTTCTCGACGATCTCAAATTACTTTTATACTCGGTAAATAAAGTAAAGATGTAAAATACTACAGTAACTGCAATAACGAGAAAAATGATGCGGAATGATTACCTGTTGTTCCACCGACAGATTTGAAAATTGCTGGCCAGTGATTCAAGACGGAGCAAACGGCGTTCTTTTCGTGTACCGATCAGGAAACGCTTCCGATGCGAAGGAAATGGACAGTTTCTATTCAAGTTTCGTCGCACAACGAGGGATAAAAGATAGAAATTGCATGGTTTTTGCCAACATCTTCGACAAGGACCAAGAAACTCGGGGAAAACTCTGTAAGCTAACTCTCGATGTTTCTATTCAAACAATGCCGTAATTGATCCATTACCAGACGTCCATGATTAAAAAAGCATTTCAAAATTCATCAGTAAGAATATAATTTGAAACGGCATCCAATTGAGCTGAAACGCAATTATTGCCCAGAAAAGAACATGGGCACAATAAAAAAAAATATGGCACAATAAAAATTTTATTTCCCAGCTCAATCGTATGCCTTCTTGATTTCTATACCGAGACATTTTTTCTTGTCCTATTGGAACAAACCTAGTAGTTTTATTCATCTGACTAAACCTTCAAGGAATACACAGACTACCTTGAGAAATATTCGCCAAAATTTTCCAAGAATTTCTCTTACATTATTTTCAGTTACCTTCCATCAATTTTTTTTCTCGCATTTTTTCCTAGCGTCAACGTTTTCGAGAATCCCTCAGATAGACGTGAATCTCCAGCACGACGCCGACTCGGCAACCACGGAATTCCAAAGGTTTCTCGGATCTGTGCTCGAAGGTGTGAAGGAACGCCAAGATAAAGCTGAAATCAGCATGATCAGAAACTAAAATTTTTTTTTAAATGAAACTCCGAAGACATCAGACATCAAAAACAGCACAGTGAGTGAAACCAGGACCAGCATTTCTGGATGCCACAGGCATCAAAGCCTCGCTCTTTCTTTCACACTTTTCTCAGGGCAGTTCAGGAATGAGACGAAAAACAAAAGAGATGCACGTAACAACACAACACGGAGCAGAGGAATCGAGAATAAAGCGGAATGTTGGAAGATCAGCATTCCCGTGAATACCCAAGGATTCCCGTTCGAAGCCCAAATAAAAATAAAGCTTACAAGCTCGACGTAAAACCTAAACAACCCGACTGGGCAGAAGTAATGACGAAGAACATGTGAGCACACGTCTGGTGTAGCAGGTGGAAGTTCTGGACTTTTATGGCTTTATTTTATAGAAGAAATTTCTTGAATAATTTCTATATTCATATTTAATTCAAAAGACCTTGAGTGATGGCAAACGTTGGCAACCGATTTTTTTGCTTTTGGCAACAAGTTTGTCTTTCAAACTTAGTTCGAACACAGCATGTGGACAAAATAAATTATTCAAAACCAGGTTTTATATTTCATCATATGGGGCACTTTCCATTTTGTCAAACTTTGTGAAACCAGAGATTAGGAGTGTAATCAGAAATACGAAACTGCTTATTCATGAGATATGCGACCTCTACTAAGCTAATTAAACGAATTTTATCGGTCTTTCAACCCCAAAACGTTAGCCAATATTGAAAATAAAAAGAAAACTACTTGGGACACAAAAGAAGAATGATTACTTTTGCAAAACTCATTTCAGAGGCATTACGACTTCCGATACAAGACAAATTCATGCGCAAATGTGCACGAAATTGTTTTCAAATAGCTAAAAAGAAAGTCTGAAAAACTGACGGAATGTATTCCTAGTGATCCTGACTTCGGCCAACGCGAGATAATCTCAACATTACCCACACGTAAATTCCTCACGTGTACAAATATTTACCGAGCGGCAAAGAAAAATGATTATTCATCAACTTTTGAAAGTCTTCAAATACTTGGAAGTCTGAGAAACTACAAGAAGGCCGTATCAGCCCACAAGGAGCAAGCTCAAATATTTACTCCCGAGACTTGAACAAAGCTCATGGCATGGATAGCAAGAGAAACTGAGATAACGGTGCAGAGGCATGATCAACAGAAACATCACCATCGTCATTTCATCATCCTTGAAAGCCCTCGTAATGACACTGCCCTTGCTGCCTTTGCCGACTTGATTCTGCGTAAGAATATCGTCGTTCCAGGTCACAGTCGTCTGAAATTGAAAGCACGAGCTCAGATTAATACCCTGAACTGTATTCATTGCGAAGAGAGTAAAAATATAACATCTCCTTTCGTGCATTGACTAATTCTTAGTTTCTAAAAAGCGTTATTCACATTCATACACTCCAAAACATTAGACACTTCGGGGAATTCTTGAACATTTATTCTATAAACGTGACAGTTCGAGAAATATTGAAAAATGTGACATATCTCAAGTTACTGTTCAGAAAATGAAAATTCGGTTCTTCGAGCGAATCCCAGATGAATCTTTAGGTAATCCAAGAGATAGCACAGAGACAAGAATCGTTTTGTTCCGGATGTAACTGGCACCAGAAACGTAGGTTTCGCGATAACAGCGGTTTACCCCCAGGTTTAATTTCAACCTTCTTTCACATGACAGTGGGACCTCGACATACGGACAATTTGACTTCGGGACATTTAAAAAAAAAAATATATATATATATATATATATCTGCCCTGATATCTGGGCAATGTCTCGAGATATGGACACTCCCCACATTTCTGGAAAAATGGAAAAATTTTACATCTCTTGAACAAATCGTGACACTCACATTCACAAAATTTCAAGTTTTTATTCTAAAATTCCTCCATTTCATCATCAAAAACTGGCTAATTTTGTGCTTGTTATTTCAGTTTATTTTCCATCATGTGTGCACAGTACAGCTAGACTTTTTCTTAGTTTCTTGAGCTCCTTCTGATCTCCGAAGGTCAGATTCTGTGTAGTTTTCTTCTGCAGTTAATTTCTGTATGTTGAAGTATAGAAACATTTCTTATGACTCTTCTTAATTTCGTGTGTAACAAGAGAAGCAATTAAATATTTTCCCATTGAAGCCTACGGGAACACGTGATCCGACATACGGACAAGGTCCACGCACCGATCACGTCGCATTTCGGGGCCCCAATGCATAAGCACCCCTGAAATACTGTATTCTTGTTTCCTTCGGTTCCGTTCGGGAGAATACAAATTAGTAATACGGTCGTCAAGCCTAAAACCTCCAGAATAAGGATCAAGATGTTAAAACCCTCAAAGCGAAACTCACAGCGCATTTTCGACCATCTCCAGTGGTCTCCTCGAACTCTTCGTTCAACTTGAATTTGAGTTCTGTGGTCTTGAAGGTAGTGGACGTGATTATGTTGAAAGTGTCGTCGGTCACCTTCGTGATATCGACGACGGGCGTGGCTGAATTCGCCAACTTCCTCGTCACCATCCCGACACCTGAAGTCGAAAAAAAATCTCATTCGCAAAAAAAAATCACCGAACTTTCCCAAGATGACATTAACAGTTTTTATTTCGCGAAATGAAGACCGCATCATGTCATGAAAAAAGAACGGTTTCACATTCAGTTTGACTGAATTATCAATTAGGCACTCAGGAAAAAAACTCACCAACAGCTTTCATGTACTCGTCGAAGTTCTCACTCTTGACGAGCTTCCACTTGCCAACCATGACGTCCGGAGCTACCATTTTGCTACCTCGAGAATTCTTTGGGATAACTATCACTAAAGGAATGCGTAGGTTTAGAACACCTGGGAAATTAATAAAGATCAGTTCAAAAGTCCGTCTCCAGTTAGCCATGAAGACCCTCCAGCCAAAAAAAATATTGTAATTTTCTGTTAAACCAGCGCGTCCCGCGTCCGTGATTTTAATGTTTCTCGCATAGATGTCACCTCAATTCTATCACCATTACCAAGGTTAAAAGTTTATTAGATATGTTCACCAGTGTGACGCTCGGGGATATTTTTAAGCGAGGAGTAAAACAGAAAATTACTGTACTTAAATTCGACTCAATGAATCAGACATCACAAAAGCTTTCTTCTTCTTTGCACAACGGAATCGCAGCAATGATGCAATTTCGAACAATCGCGAAGAAATCCCATCCAATTCAAATAAATTAAAAAAATTCGACTAGCTTCGATCCGCTCACAGACTCAAAAACAAAAATCTCAGCCAAAAGAACAAACTCGAAATGCACAAGCACTCTTGTTACGATTACCGCTATTTTTCTTCGAATGAATTAAATCCCCGACGCTTTAAATCCCCCGACTCGGTTACCGATAAAATACAAAATCCTTCACGATAAGACGCCAACACTCGTCTCAAGCACGAAAACTCCGCACTCAATTCACCGGGGAACGTACAATTCAGTCTCGACTTCCAGTATCAAGTTTTCTCAGCGAATCCTACATGAATCAGCATAGATAAGAAAATAATATTATACTCCCAACTTCTTAGACCTTTGAATCCAATTGCGATAATGCGGACAGTTTTCGAACCAATGGCAACCCTTTTCCGGCACGGATTGTAAAACTGTATTAAAATTTGAATGCCGCAGATTGAATGTTGACTCAAATTTACAAAACGCGGAGATCGACACAGAAGTTATGGCTCCAAAAATTTGCCCGATAGTATTCAATGAAATTTTCACGCATTTCGCTCAGCCTCAGATTTCGGGAATTGTAAGATCAGTCTTACAGCATTGCAAAATTTCCATTAAAAATCAGCAGGGTTCACGCATCCTCCAGGATACATTCCGTACTTTTTCAAGCAATACCGTGACATCCCTTTTGCAGTATTGTAATTATTCTCCCTATTCGGAAAATTCCCTCCAAATTTGCATTCCCCATCAGATTCCTCAGCTTTAGTGTAAAATAAAGAATCCAGCATTGGTTTCAAATGTCACAGCTGACCACTGAAAACTTTGTACATACGTTTTCTCAACATTCTTCATTTGTTCAAGGTAAATGCATGCAGTTTTTCAAAATTGTTCGTAACATATTCTTTGTATAACTTATGGCAAAATTCCTCAGCGTTTCAGTAAGAAACCCTACAACGAATGCACATTCCTTGAGAGACAGAAAAATCGCGAGTGGGTCGACTTTTCAATCGAATTTTGCGAAGAAAATTCCGTCCTGCGCCGACAGAAAAAAAATAATGAGAAACAAGATATCCGTGGAATATTAACTAACGTGAAACCTGAAAAAAGGATCCCATATTAGAATGCCATTTATTTTTCCAACTTATTTCGACCATCTGGTTTTCGAGTCAATCATAGCTGAAACCGTATTTACGCGAATATGCGCACCCCCTGACTCCCATGTTAAAAGCTCGAAGAACTAAGGGTGAGTACATCCCATCCGAATATTTATGCAATTCGCGTAACAATGCGTCTATATCAGGAAATATTTCTTTTCACTGTCCAAAAATTGATCGATCACTTCTTTTCTTCCCTTTACTTGGAATTGAAGTTGAAAAAAATCAAGAAATTTACAGGTTTTAGCACTTTCAAGATGCATGAGTCATTATCTCGAGGACAAGAGCAGGAGCTGTATGACACCATTTTTTTTTCCTTTTCTGGGGACAACCTAAATTTAGTCGGAAATCAGAAGACCTACAGTACAGGTACTGTAATACAATTTCAATTATGCGCATGAAAATTTGATCGGGGTGCTTATGTTCGCGAAAATACGGTGCCTCATGGATATATTTTCTTCACTTTTCTGACTAGCATTCAAACCTTTCACGAATTCGCGTTTCCCAGAACACAAAAAGGGGGCTTTCTCCTCCAAACTTTTTTTCTCACGTCGACCGTAAAGGGGTAGCTTCAGCAACGCTGCTTCGACCCGTCGATTTCTTCAACGCCTCCAACTTCTCCCTCAAAAACTGCTTATCCCTGTTCTCCAGGATCAACTGATCCTGCAGCCGCGACACCATCGAACGATGCGCCGCCGCCATGGCGTAATAATAATACAAACACAAAATGAGCACAATCAAGGCCGGCACCACAAACCCGGCAGTGGTGAGGAACCCGAAAACAGCCTTGATCCACACTGGCCATTCCTTGATGGAGTCCACCACAGCACCCCACATGTGGGTTCGGCCACGGAACGGGCCACAGGACCGAGATGGTGGCACTTCGAGGACCAAGAGCCCAATGGGTAGGGTGACGGCGAGGAACGAGAGCAACAGGGCGCCCATGAAGAGTGCTTTCGACTTGGAAGCCCTGAGGGATTGGCGGGAGGGGAAAGTCACGTGATCAGAAAGGGAAGCCGATCACAAATAATAAAAAACACACGTCGACATGCAACCCCCCCCCCCCCCAAATACTGTATTTAACGTCTTTCCGGAAAATCAAGTCAGAAAAGTGTGGTGCGCCTGAAATCTGGGTATAAAGTGAAGTACAATACTTTACAAACCAGATTTTCTTCTACACCTGAATGGGTGCAAGAGAAAATCCCACCGAAGAAAAAATCCCGGGGCCCAAAAATCTGGTAGATCTAAAAATCTCGCGGGGTCCGTAAATCCCATAGGAACGAAAATCCCGAACAGGAATTTTTTTACAGTACTGTATCAGAAAAATCCCCCTCGAACACTACAATAGGTAATGGTCTGTAAACAATTCCTAAATTTTAAAAGTCTAAATTCAGTTTAATAGTGATATTTCATTCCATCAAATTTCAATGTACAGTACAAAACGTGATAAAAAAGAATGAAAACACATTTTTAAAATTCAACAAGTTTTCCAACCAAACGCAATGGAAGAATAAATGCACTGATTTTTTTTGTATCTTCATCTCTTCTTGAAATTTGATCCACTGTTTCATCCCAAACACATTTTTACTTAAAACCAAGACACTAAACATTACGTACTGCAGTATTCGTAGTACACGGGATCCTCGGAACCCGCAAGATTTTCAAGCCTGCGAGATTTACAGGCCACGGAATTTTTTCAAGGATACACTTGAATCTAGAATGCTAGAGATTCTTGGATTTTTCGCGAGTGTAAAATCTAAGAGGGACACCTTCATACGGTACTCCCAGAAATACGACTTCTGGAATATTTTCTAGTTTCCCCATTTCTGAATAAAATGCTTCAGGAACATGTTCACCCAGTCGATTATCGCTCTCCGGCACTAGACAAGTCTTTAAAAACAAAAGAAAATATAAAAAAAGCTAAACGTATCATTTTCAGATGCGAAAACGTCTGAAACCTGTTTTCGCGACGCTTCGACGATTATTCCACCCCCCCCCCCCCCCCCACCACCCCCCCCTTGGAGAGTATTTTCTGGTTGTGAACGTTTTAAACCACCCCCCCCCAAGAATTCCGCATTTACAAATTAAAGTTGCGCTAGTTTTTGAATCAATACTTTCCGTCAATCTCGTCCGACAAGAATGGAACAGTTCGTTCAACAAATTAGAGAAAACAAAAAGGGATTTCAACGATTGTTCAACCTTTCTCCGGAAAGACGCGACCCGATCTAAACACGATACGACTGACCCACGGGCATGTCAGAAAAGACGAATACAACATAACAGGGGAAAATCATGTACAGTATTGTACATGATGATGTAACTAACCTGTAGAGTAGTAGCGAAGGAGCGCAGATGACTTTCAAGTGGAACTGCTTAACATAAAAGACCACGAGGAACTTGAGCACGTGCAACAACGGCGCCAGCGGAGAAAACAAGATACTCAACCAGCACAAGGACTGCGAATACACCAGGTCAACCACTTGACGAGGCAGGTCAAAATCCACCTGGAGAAAAATATCGACACCCTCTTGAAAACTGTCCCGATGAAAACAAAATATCTTCAAATCCCCGTCTCAAGCTTATACAGTACTGTACTTGCAAAGGCGATTTTTTCCAGCGAAGATTTGTCAAAACATACGACAAATACGCATTCACTACACTTTATTGAAGCTGGTACCATATTTTAATATTGGACAATTTTGGCGAGCTTCAAAACCTTGGGAGGGATTCCCACGCAGAAGTGATTCGGCATGTACCCAGAAGATGCATCAAAGTTGCTCGATTGCGCAGAATCAGTTTTCCTTACTTTATAATCTCCCAACTCCCGAACAACATAAATATGCCGATTTACAAATGCTTCCGCGCGAATATGAGGATTCAGGACGAATTTAGAACTCACAATGACGAAGTTCTACGACAAAAAAAAACGCAGGACATTTACTCATAACAAGACAATTCGTCGGGACGTGCAGGAAAAATTTTGAAATGTACTGTAATTCACTCGCAATAAATTAATTACTGTAATTAACTTCTCAACACACTGCACAAGATGAACCATAAATGAAACCTCGACCGATTTAAAACTGCGATCTTTGCGGGATGTTTGTAGCTAACGTTACACAGATTTGCTATTGCCCCATAAAATCGCTTACAATATAGAAATGAGGCAAAACTTGGACTTTACGCAAACTCATTTTCAAGATGATAAAAAACCCTTTATATAAAAACTGGTCTATTTTATTGTTGGATAGATATCAGGAGCTACAAGATTTACAAGTTCTCGCTTTGGAAAGTCCACCGTAATTCTTACCATCAACTGAAATCGTTGTGAAAAAGTTCCATAGTTTCGAGTTTTTAAAGAAAAACGAGAGATGAAATCTCACCTGCAACAAAGGAATCGCGGAAGACACGACTTTTCGCAAACTTCCAACAATGAAGACCATGGCCAAGGAAAACACCAGGTCGACCCAGACCAGTTTGTACAATTCTTGACCAACGTAAGTTTCCCAACAGGGAGGCGCTTTACATTTGGTTCCAGTACATTCAAAAGAACCAGCAGGACACATGATTGAGTAGAAGGACGCCATCAGAAAGAATATCGATGCCAAACGGAGTCCGATAGTACGGAGAATCTGAAGAAGAGAATAAAAACAAAAACTCGTTTTACAAAATTTTGCGAAGGGGCGGAATATTCATGAATATTTTTTTTTTCTAGGCACTAGGTGCAGAAAATTTATTCTTCGGAAAGAACGCTGCGTCACAGGAACGTGCAAAAAAATTCGCTTGTGCCGATTCCAACGAGGACTTGATGGCATACCATCATGCCTTCTGACACGGCATCTTTTCTGGGAATCCCTCGATCGTGACCAAGGATGAATTTTTCTTTCGAGTGCAACGACGTGTACGACATACCTTTCAAAGAAATTTACCCCAAAAATCACAAGAAAAAATTCGAAGCGTTCTGCATAGTTATTGCATTGAGCAAAAATTATTCAAATTTTTACTCGCGGAGTTGGAAAAAAAAATCAACGACGTCCGCTGAAGGCAGCGTGGGAACGAAATACTGCATCTCATTCAGATGACGACCTCTATTTTCGTGCTAACGAAAAGGAATATTAACGCAGTTGATAAAAACTGTATCAAATTCACTACGGTTGACAAAATCATTGCGGGAATGAATTTATTGTTCATAAAATTATCATCAGGAGGAACAGCTGCAATTCTAGATGACATCGTACCCCTCCGCTGGGGATAAAAAGTGCATCTTTTTCAAAATACATCACTTCAATTAAAATTATATTATTACATTCGACTTCAAACATTTAATGAGTGCGAAGTGCAGATTTCATTAGCTTCAGAAGCATCAAAGATAATGTACATATGGTAAAATGTTTTTTCACAAGCATTACATTTATGCAGTTTCAAGCTTTCAACGAAGAAAAGTCTCTTCAAAGTAAACCTCAAGATTTTTTGAATATTGTTCCTCATCCTCCAAACATCAACATTATATTGGAAGAAGCAAATTTCTGAATCAGATAAAAACTTCTTCAGGTTCTTTTTGTTGAACATTGTTCAATTCCTTTCCAAGTGCTTCTGCTTTACAGTACTTCTGAACAGTACAGTACATTAAAATCTTGTTCCTACAAACTTTTGGGGACTTCAGAAAATGTGTATTATACTGTAATTTATTATTTCCAGAAGAATTTAAAAATTAATGGCTGGAAAAATTAGTCGCAACAGATCTCCTACAATCACTTTTTTGGCAGCCTAAGATTTTTTATCATTGTTTGAAAACTGAGTCATTTCTTGAAAAAAAAAATAGCAATCATGCATTCGATCAATCTCTTCATCCCGGGAGGATGATGGAACCACTTGGAAAAATATTTATAGTCACTTTTGGGATTGGAAATTTTAGATTGCACCTGACTTGTCAAAAAATTACCACCTTTTCAATCTAATAAACATTGCTCAAAAAAGTGTTTTATTCTGTGTATTCTGTACTTGATTTGGGAAGTTTGTTATGACAAGATTGTTCCTACATGTACTCTACGGGCTTTCTACTGGGACTTCGAACGGTGAAACAGTATTTGTTTTAAGAAGATTTTACTGTATTCTGAAAAGTGAAACAATCATGAAGATCTGTAACGCAATTATCAGTACGCCTCAAGACCACCAGGACCATTCCACGCAATCTGGAAATGGTTTAAACCGTACACACAAATTTTGAAGAGTTGAAAATTTTGAAAAGCCTTCGCATGTACACGTCTCGGCAAATGAGGGTTTTCATTCCGAAACGTGAAATAAGAAAAAAAAACCACTTCGGAAACCCGGCATTACTCAATGGCCAATTCAGAGGGTCTGCAACCCAATTGGCCGAGGGAAAGTCTCCGTTCGGATGAAAAAATTAAATAATCAATAACTAACGAACCTGAAAATTGACTTGTTGATCGGGTGAGTAGCCTTCGAACACACTCAGGATGCCGAACAAAGGAGGAATGACCACGTTGAGAACCGTGATCGTCACACTAGGAACATATTCCATCACGAAATCTGGCACCTCGATCCCAGCGATTTCTTCTTTCGTTTGATTTCCGTCGCTTATCCTCGCATTTTCTAAACCCAACTTGCTTGCGTAATAAATTGCAAAACCCGATCCGAACAACGTTGCAGTAGCACAAAAATGCCCGAACATTCGCTTGAATCGAAGCTTCCATCGCTCCGACGACTGCATGCTCTTCCTCTTTTCGGCAATAATTTCCGCGTGCAACAAAGATTTCAACTCATTTGTGATGACACTGTGTTCCACTGCGGCGGATTTGGGACTCTTTATGCTGAAATCCCAGCCAGCGAAAACGACGTTGCAATACACGTGGAAACTCCCCTTTTCATTTACTAAACTCTCACGGAAACCCTTTGCGGCTTCATACACGATCCACATGAACGACACCAGGAAACAACAGGAACAAGTGAGAATGTATGCGAGAGGAAAAACGTAGGTCCACTCGAGGAACTGCAACCGAACATTCACATTCGGGTAATGCCCATAGAATAAGTGAGTCAACTCCAGCCAGCCCGTGCCCGTGGCGAAGTCAAAGACTGCATCAAATCCGGTAGACACCAATGTTGAGTTTTCATATGTTTCATGACAGCATTCAGCAGAGAATGGATCCCTTTTGTTGCAGATACTGCCGGATTCTGCATTCCCCGAAATAGCAGGAAGTACCACAAACAGAAGCATGAAAAGACTCATAACCAGATTCAAAGCTAAAAGCCAGCGCATGAAGATGAAGTAGGATGCTAAGCCGGAGCCAAACCGACCCTGGATGCTTTTAAGCAACGCAGTGAATGGAACAAACAACTTCGCATTGTCACGCCAGCAGATACGTGTGTTGTGACACGCTTGTTTTCTGTGAGCCGAAATGGGACCGACAATTTCACTTCGTGGCGATGGTTCATCCTAGAATGTTTAAAAAAGAGTTGGTTAAAATCAGGGAGACACAAATGAACAGCAATAACTCACCCGAGCTTCCCGCAACAGAATTCGTTTCCTGCCCATTGGCTCAGCGCGTGTCTTTATTTTCGCAATGCGATCATCTAGCTCAATACGTTCAGTGTACCCTGAAGGGATGCAAAGCGGATTCATACACAAAGTTTATACGATATCCAGTAATGACTTTCACTCACTGATGTCGCCGATCTTGAGAGTTTTACCCTGTATATCCTCGTACCCAGCTTCGGTATCATTGGCATTGCTGGGACCAGATGGATAACTTTCTTGGAAAAACTCGTCATCAGCTTTGTGCCAATCACTCCGCCGACGCGCGTGTCGACCTTTACTCGACACCATCGCACAGTTCTGCAGAAAAATCCCGGAAGAAACATTACGTCTGTGACTAGGTTACAAATAACATGCCTTCACGAACTTCTCGCGATTCGCAACTCATGGTATTAATTCTAGCCAGCACACTATCCAGTTCACGAAAATTGGACATGAGGACCTCTTCCTGCGCAACTTCCACTCACATCCACTCATCTCAGGGCTTCCTCTTCAACGCCACGCTTGCCAACGCCATTTTCTCTCAGAGCCATCAGTGGCTTTTAGTGAGTGCCTTCAGCTGAAATGCTTTAAGATTATAGATGTCGGGAAGACATCTACGCGTTCTAGATAAAAATTAGCGCATACCGAATAAAAATTTCAAATAAATAGCGCACTCAGGCTAGGTTATTTTAGGTTTCAGTCAAATAGTATAATGTCTTCCTACACCAGTTGCATCATGAAATTCCTGACCAGCAAAATGTACTCTCATAAAGTCACTCAATAATGGCCTAGGGAGAGGACATAGAAGAGAATAACTCTCTAGCAGAGCAGCATGGAAGTGAGCAGCGGCGACCTGAAAACCATTCCTGAACGTCCTGGCCCCAAATTTGGATTGTCTACTGACCACCCATACAAGAAGTCCCACCCACCACCGCGCAATGCGCGCATAGAGGATGTCAGTTTGGGAGAATTGAACAGAACAGCTAACGTAATGCTTCGACCTAAGGTGATGGGTGCTGGTATCGTACAGCGGGTCCATGTATGCAGTACTGCATTTATGTACGGTATATACTGTATATGGTGAATGAAAATAACTTGAAACTATACAGTAAGGACTTGCATCTGTTCTGTATATGTAAATTAACTGGTATTCACATGTTATTCAGCAGTCAGAATGACAGAAAATTTTTCTTTCGCTCCTGTAATTATCCAAATAATTGGGACATTGTTATTCTCTCTGGAGTCTAGTCTACGAGGGTTGTTTCATAAGTCTAGCGACAATTACAAATAGATCCAACATGGTTTGGTCAAATATTTTTTTACAACTTACATAACCTCGCCACGCGGCAATGCACGTCAGTGTTATGCAGCATACAACTATCCGAAAATTTCAATGCACTTTTTCATGCGATGAATCCAACCATCAAAACAGTGGCAAAAATTGAGTTCAGACTGAAAATTTCCTGGCGCAACTGTTTTGATTGTTGGACTTATTGCATGGAAAAGTGCATTGAAGTTGGCAGTGAGTATGTTGAACAGCACTGAAGTGTTGATGCGTGACTATGTTATGTGAGTAAATGTTTTTTTAATTCACCGTCAAGTTTGGTCTATTTGAAATAGTCCCAATAAGACTTATGAAAAAACCCTTGTATATATATATACTGTCTACTGTACAGTGCTTAATTCATACCTAACCTCATTAGTCGTTATATACAGTAGAGTACAATACAACATGTTCAGTACTGTATACTGTTTTTTTTCTTACACTGTATACTGTAATAATATTTTTTTTCTGTATATACTTCAGTTTGGTTTGGAGCCTGCTGTCTATTCATTCATTTGGGAAAAAAGAATCCTGTTTCTTCTTAAGCCAAAAAAAGAATTTCAAGTAAATCAATGTACAAAAAATTAAAAATATCATGAAGGAATATCCATATGAATGCAATAGTGTTGCTGTGGCTATAGTTTAAAGAAAAAAAATAGCAATTTGCCCTCTTGAAATTCTTGAGGGGGTTTGGATGTGGGAGTCTTGGTTGTGCCTCATGAATGCTGAAAAGTGGCAAATAAAGTGTTCTGTTCATTCATTCATTCATTGAAATTCTTTTTCTTTGTCAAGAAGAAGGTGCAAAATGCTCTTTTCTCAAGTTTAAAGTTCTTATTGTCTCGCATGGTTTTTCTAAGTAAATATGATATCTCATTGAAGTATACTGAACTGCTGTTTCCCCAGATCTCTCTGGAAAGAACGTCTTTGATCCTGTATGTGAACTGCTTGGACGTAACGTAATAAAAACAAACTCTATACAGCACTGTATACTGTATATGAAGTAATGAATTGTCAGATAAATGACGGAGTGCAAGAGATTTAAAGATTAAAAATGAAAAGAACCAGATTTGGGTCAAGTTTTGCAATGAGGGAAATATTTTTAAATATTGCATATTTTAGCCTGCTAAGGCAAAATAAAATGTATGTGGGACTCTATATATACATCAGTGCATTATTCTGCCATCATTATATGTACATTATATCGAGACTAATTCAACTGTCTTCCTCCATTAATCCCCACATCCATTTGTCCATTTGCTGCTCTGTTTTTTTAACAGTGATGATCTCTACATACCTTAACATGAACGCGCAAACCGAGTAAAACTCAAGCAAGTCAAATTGGTGGGTTTGTCAACCAACATATCATATATTCCATAATCTGCGTTATACGATCCATGAGTCATGATTTAAAAATATTCTCCCTTTCATTCATGAGCAGGAAATCATGCGCACATTGAATGATTTGAACCTTCTTTTTTGACTCTAGAAAAGAAGCATGGGCTTTTTTTTGTTGAAAATCGATGGATATTGATTTTTAAAAAGCAGCAAATGGAGAAAAAAGTAGTTTCTTTTGGAAACCAAAACTATATTACAAATAAAAACATATAGTGCATAGGAAGAATTCGGATTCATGAATGAAAGGTTGGATGGTTGGGATGGTTGTCAAATCAACCAAATATCACGTCGGCTGTGGAAATTCGTCAACATATGAGACAACCATGAGAAACAAAAGCTAGAAATTGTTTATAACTTTGACAAGGTTTATCCTTGACTGAGCACGCAACATATTTCACTCTTCGTGCTTTGGTATAGTGCTAGCTCAAAAAAAATAATAATAAAAACGCAAGAACATGCTATTTAAGAGAGAATTAACTTTATCTATCTATATGCATTGGAAATCGTTAGATATCAGTTCGAGCACCAGTAGTCTTCATCGTCATCCACGGAAAAACGACATGTTGAGTTCATTGAGTAAAGTGGTGATTGTCTCTTATTATTGCTGGTGTTGGCAAGTGGGATTGGCGGTGCATCGTGCAGATTTCTTCCCCACAGACCCAGGGCTTGTCACCAGGCTACCGGAATGCGACGATTGCGCATCCCCTGTTTTTCAATTTCCAATTCCATTCAAGTTTTTTGGATCTGTTGAACAGTCAAGCAGCTATACCATCAGCAACAACGGGATCATTTACTTCGGGAATAACCCTCAGACATTTAACTTTATTTTTTGTTTGGGTAGTGGTGCACCTACTGAACCGATTTCGGAAATGGTTTTTCCCTTTTCTGCCGACATTAACACCGGCGATAACAATGGGAATGTCACCTACTATTTGACCACACATTCCAGGTTATTGGCAAGAGCTAAGGCTGAGATCGTTTCCAGTTTTCCTGGTGCAGTCTGTGAGTAAGAAACACCAACTGAAAATACGCAATTGACGTTTGGTTAACAGGCCCCTTGGTTAACAAACCTTTGTCATACCAGGAATGTGTCAGGTCAGCCGCCAGTCGGTCAATTCACAGTTGCGCACCTGCTGCTTGTCAAGTGCCCGTTGGTCCAACCGCCAGCCAGGGCAGTTCTTGGCCTCGCCAATCCGCAGCCCACCAAACTGCAGTTTGGTCACCCAATTGTTGGGGCACCCAAACAATCAGGTGACAACAATCATGCTGATTTTTTTTCAGAATTCAGTGAGCAGAATGGTATCCTACCACAGATTTTTCTTCTTCAAAATTTCAGCAATGTTAGGTTAGGTTAGGTTAGGTCAGTTTATGCTATGTTAGTTTAGGTTAGGTTAGGATATGTTAGGGTAAGTTAGGTTGGGTTTGATGAGTTTTTTCTTTTTGTGGAAATTTTTATAAGATGAAATTTTGTAAAAAAAAAATATTAGACACCATCTTATGGTAAGACGAGTGGTTTAAGATCTTTCTTAGTCGTACTAAGAACAGTGGGTTAACAAACCCACGGGGTTGTTAACCCACTGGAGACCATGGTTTGGTGGACTGGGGATTGGCAAGGCCAAGGACTGCCCTGGTTGGCGGTTAGACCAACCTGCGCTTGATGACTGGCAGGTGCACAACCGTGATTTGACCAACTGGCGGATGACCCGGTACCCTCAAGGAAAAATCCCTTGGTACAAAAATCGAAATTTTCCTGTAAAACTTTTGTTCCCAGGCAAACATTCCAAAGTCAGTCATGAAACTGAACTGTGCAGTACAATCTAAATTCAATCAATTCATCTCTTATCAACTGATATGCTACGGTCTGTCCCCTCCCTGCTGTGGCACTCAAAAGCAGTATTCCCCAATCTTTTTGGGCCTGCAGATCATTAAATTTCTACCCACAAAATTTGCAGACCAGCAAATGAAAAAAAAATTCTGCAGACCAGCAACATTTTCCTTGAAAGACTGCATGGCAGGTATATAAACATTTTCCTGCTTAGTTGGCAAAAATTGAGTAAGAACCAGCAATTATTAAATGTCTTCGAAAAATATGAATCTGGGCTGCAAGAAAAGTTTCTCAAAAGTAAACATTTAAAAAATTTAATTCAGCAGGTGAAAATTTTTCTGAAGTGTTATTAGGGAGTAAAGTCATTCATCAAATACTGTATTTTCAACTGCCATTGCCTCTCCAAAATTTCAGACAAAGATAACAAACTTCATTGTAATTTATACAAATTTTTCATGCTGAAGAAAATTTCCCACCAACTGGCAAAAAATGTATGTGAACTGGTGCGAGTCTGAGGACCATGGGTTGGGGATCACTGCTGTAAGGCATGTGAACCATGTGTTTAACTCTTTAAAATTTCAGCTGAAATATTTCTACTTGTTCTTTTTTAAGAGAATTAAATTCAAAAATGATATCCAGCTGTGGCTAAAGGAAATCTATTTTTCTAGTTGCTTCCACTGCTGAATCTGTTCTGTACTCACTGTATAGTGTTATTAACATGAAATTTTCTGGTGATAGTTGCCCTACTCATGCATGAAAGATTTCCTGAATGTGAAAAGCTTTTTGAGTGTTTGTTTTCATGAGTCAAACTTCCGTCCAACCCTACAAAACATTTTGAAAATCCATTGCTAATTCCATAGCTGTATAAATAAATCTAATTAGATATTTTTCCAGATTTTTTCTTTCTTTC